CTCTCTCTCTCTCTCTTTCGTCATTCTCACAAAAAACTTTCACGCGCGCGCATTACACCAGTCGTCGTGCGGTAGTCTCCGATTGCGGAGCATTGCGGAATTTTCATGGGAGAGAGTACCAGTCGCGGCTATTATCGATTCAGCACGTTACCTAAATTGAGGCGGTCCGCGAAAAAAGGCCAGGCTGAATAACCCTGCGAGTAAATCATATTTTAAAGCCCTCATCATTTAATTCATTCTTGACGATTTTTATATTCGATATATTTTACTGACACTTTTAATTGTTATTTTTCTCCGGTTCTTTTACTGTCTTTCTAACGCTTAGCGAACTGGGTTATATTCTACGGAATCCGCGCATCTCGAATATTTTTCGCAATTGATACAAATTTACTGAATAATATAGTTTTAAGTTAAGGGATCCGATAAATCGGTCTACGGAAAGAGAGCTTTTAGAGCCGCCTTTTGTCGTGGATCGCCTCGATTGCGAGCGATAAAAATCCACGGATAAACTGTGCCTTGTATCTGTCGATCTTCCATGACAATTCGTTGCTTATCTGTATGCAAAAGGAACGATATTGATGTGAGGGATGCTTTTATTAGATGAACGTCGTTATTATTAGATGGAAAACTAATTAAAATAAGAAGCGATTGCAATATTCGCGATAATTACGACTTTTATATCGTTACCACTATTATTATTTATTTATATCATTACTATTGAAATAAGAAATAGGTATGTGTGTAATATTTGTAGAAAAATTTTTAAAAAAGTATGTCCAGTAACCAGATTTTTTTACAATAACGTGGAATAAACCTTTCCTATAAAAAGTAATTTTTGTCTTGAAATGAAAACATCAGTAACGATCAGTAGTTTGCAATGTGTTTTGTGAGCTTGGCTATGTTCAATATCTAGAAAAAGTAACTTTGGAACTGTTATAAGCTTCTTTAATATAATTGGTTCTTGCCTTTAGTTTCTCACTGAATCTAAATATATAAACCAATCATAATATTAAGGAAACTTACAACAGTCGCAAAGCTGCTTTTTCTGCTGAACGTAGCTATCGTTACAATTAATGCCAGACTTACCGTAGCGGCGAAACGCGCTACTGTTCTTGATGATAAAATTGGTATCGTTGCTTTTGCCAACTCTCGTCGCAGATCGAGATTACCGTGGACGATTCCATGACGGAGTCAAAAACAAGAAACGGGAACTCGAATAATTTTTCATATCATCGAGCGCGGAGAAATCATACACGGTCGAGAGCGGTCTAATTGCGTAAAGTATCGTAACTTAAAAATAAAAAGGCTTCACCATCGACGAGCAACGCACACATGAATTCGAGTTAATTCTTTCGCGTTCGTCGACTAAAAGTGCCTCCTGTCTTCCTCAGGTCGCACCCTTAATTGACCCATCAAGGCCCAGAAACGTTCTCGGAATTGAAAATTCTAAAAACTTTCTCTTAGGATCCTTAAAAGTTATTTTTAAAATTCGAAGTTTCGCAAAGATATTCTCTAGGCCCGCGCGTTCGTACGAACATAACAAGTAGGTATGACGCGCCGTAAACCTTTTGATGAGATGAAGACGTGCGGAAGCCGCCATCAGGGATACAAGTCGCGAACAAGTCGTCCGTCGTTGGCGAAACCGGCTTTGGAATATCAGCGGCGGATAGCGGCGAGGCCCCGTCTCGAAGGATGACGGATCCGATGCCAGCTATTTTTTTTTCCCGGAGGGCCTCGCCGCGCCGCGATCGCAAGTATACCCTATCGTCGTCGTCCTCGTCCTCGTCCTCGTCGGATATATACGAGTACGCGATGCGGATCGGAGCGTGGATTTTTACATAACGGCACATTTCTCCTTAAGTCTTATCGCGTTGTTGCTCTGCACCGGCTGTAACGAGACCGAGCGGTTCTTCTCGAGGGTGAGCAAGTCTCGAAACAGGGCGTCCACGTTGTGATTCGTCTTGGCCGAGGTCTCCAGAAAGCCACAGCCCCAGTTGGCCGCTTCAGCCGCGCCCTCGCTCATCGACACCTCACGCACCGATGGACTCTCATCGCACTTATTCCCGACCTGGACGATGAATCAATGATGGAACCGTTCAGTTGCGCAAGAAAAACAACACCGACAAAGAAACAACTCAAGAGTAGGAGGGCTTCATGCAGGAATAGAAATTCCCTCTTTGGAGGAAACCAAATTACATATCGCAAGTCAATCGAATTTCGAGAACAAAGAAATTCACAGATTTGCAACGTTAATGGTTTCTTCAAATTCCTTTCCACGTTATCCGAAAATTCATTGTTAAATGATGGCAAATTTTTAAAGCTATTGTCTTTTTTAATCTTGAATTCAAAACACTGGTATGCCATCGATAGATGGAATTTTTTTCAAAATATCGACACTGAATGACTGCACAGAAATTTAATGTAAACACATTGCGAATGAGCCGGGATTATATAAACATTTTGACGCAAGAGAAAAAAACTGCGCCCCTCAATAACAAAAAAAATTCTTTTACGGCATGTAAAATATAATAAAATATAATATTTTAATTAATGATATTCAACTCTCCGTCAACTATGTGGAATTTTGCACCTTTTGTCAGCAATCTGCGTCTTTGATCTTTAATGCAACTTTTTATATTGTTCTGGATTGTATAAAAATCGAACAAAATTCTTACCTACTTGTAAAAACTTTAACAAATTTTTTTATCAGAGAAGTCGAATTATATTTTAATTATTTTTATACATTTAAATTTATCTATCAGAATTCACGATAATCAAAATATCTATTGCGCCTTCAAAGTCCAACTTGACCGACGGAAGGTTAATATATTAATATTAATTTAATAAGATAATCACATATATATGTATTTGTAATGTATATGTATACAGATGTATATATAATACATCACAAATATACAGATTACATGCACACGTATGTTACAAACAAAACATAATTAATAAAAGTCAATGAGAATATATATGTATAATACATTTTACATTTATATATAAATAATAATAATTCTTGTAAAAATTTATTATAGAAAATTTTTTCATTTAAAGTAATACTTTTTGTGTTTTAATAAAATTATCTTGACTTTTATTTAATACACAGCGAGCGCTCAATGGCGGGTAATTTTACTGTCATCGTTAGCACTGTTAGCAGCAAATTAATTAAAATTATATAGAAATTTACGTTATCATTTTTGCGCCCCTTTAAATATTTTACAAGCAAGTGTTTCGTTCGCCACACCCTAGGACCTGGTGGATCAGGCTGTGCATCGCGATAATTTGTATCATTTAAACTTCTGTTATCTCGACGAACATCTTTTATCAAGTTGACGACATGCGCGCGAAACAATATCGCACGTAACATTTTTTTATGATTATTCAAGTTGCGGAAAGTTGCAAAGTCATGTGAGATAAACTAGACGACGTATTTATTAAACGAGAAGCGCAGAATTCGTTCGTTCGTTCGGCATCGGGGAAAAACTGAAACAAATGGAGAGGATTGCGACGAGTCCTTACCAACATAATAGGTATCTGCGAGATATCTTGGCCCTTGAGTTCCCTTATCACGGCCCAGATCGGTCGTAGCTCCTCGAGACTTTGCCGTGAGCACACCGAGTACACCAAGATGAAGGCGTGACCTTTGCTTATGGAGAGTCGCTGCATAGCGGGAAACTGATGGGACCCCGTTGTATCCGTAATTTGAAGTGTGCATATGTTTTTATCGCAACTTATCACCTGAAATACCGTAATGCAATCCGTTGACTTTGGTCGCAAGGCTTTGGGCTTCGATCCGATCGGCTCGACTCGAGGTCATGGTTCCCGATTTGACTCGACTCGGGATCGTGCACCGGGTCGAGTCAAAGCAGGCGGGATTGAGTTGAGCTAACAATCGGAACCGCCTGTGCGACTCCATTGGTGACACTTCTCGTCGCGCACACAGCGAGAGTCCCACCAGCATCGTCATTGTGTTTTTTTTACGTATAAATATATACACACACAAACGTGCATTTCTGTTAAAATCTTACGGACATATGTGGGTGTCGTGGTATTCATACACGGTGGCGTATAAATTACCGATATAATCGAAATATGTCATGTTACTACGTTGCTTTAACTTACATTTGTACAAATAATGCCCATTTTTATTAGTGTAGATTAACTTTAACACTTCTGTTAATGTATGAATATCTATATCCAATTTTTAGCAATAAAAAGTTTTATATTTTTATGCGCGAATTTCGTTATGACATTTCAAAAAACTTCATCCTTCGAATAGTTTTGCATAGATTTTATTTCGTTTTCACGTTTATATTTTAGCATGAAACATAGTAGTGAAAAAAATTTTAAAAATGTGAAAAATTATGCATCGACAGAAGAGTTAATCTCATTTTAATGTACTCTTTATTTTTCTTTAATTTTTACAAGAAAATACACAAAGTGTTTTCCTCCGATTTTGATGAGCTTTTAATACGTTGTCTAGACCTTAAAAATAAAGAATTACACAATTGCGTGACGCTTTTTAGGCTTTCATGGGTATTATCTTCAAAGATACCAGGTTTGCGGGTTATCGCCGTGTTTTTATCCATTGCTAATACCAACGTTTCATGAACCTTGCTGTTCATTTCATCAGGACGAGGAGCACGCTGATACTATATTAGTATAGTGCGCGCTCCTCGCCCTGAGGAAGTGAACGGCAAGATTCACGAAACGTCGGCATTAACAATGGATAAAAACACGGCGATAATCCGCAAATTTTCTAGTATTTTTTAATTACACCGCATATTCTTTTATGCACGCTCAGGCGCATTTTTAAACATTATTTGAAGAAACATTCCTTTGACAAAAATCGGTTAATTTCGTTTAAAGCGAATATCATTGAAAATATAAGACATAGAAAATAATTTTTTACGATAGACTGCTGCCAACCGAAGATTAGCAAAAATTGATAAATAAGATTCTGGCAGAGTTTTAACTGAAAATAACCAGATATATGGTCGAAACGTCTATCGATGTATACATGTAAAATGATTTAATATATAATTGCATTGTTACGTTGCGGAGACTTTTGCTCCTTTATCGATCTATTTTGTAAAATATTCCAATCTTGTAAATTCAGCACACTTTATCCGAGAGATATCCTGCGATTATCCTTAGGATGTCTTTAGGACATCTCTTGGAGGCCTATACCTGTATGTGAAATGATAAAATTGTTCCGAGGATTACGAATGCACGTATTTAGGACTTTAGATTTGGACGTCCAGTAAATGTACTTATGTAGGACATAATGAGGCGCTCATTTCATAGTCCAAGGACGTCTTATGGACGTCCCCTTTAGCTGACAGGACGTCTACAAACGTCTCTGTGCTATTAGGGTATACACCTATCTTTAAAACTACATTCTGATACACGATGAAAGTGTCAAATTTCCAGTGTTTAAAATGGAAAAGTAAAGCAATAGATGATTAAAATGGTGTTCAAATTAAAAAATTTAAGGATAAGCGATATTTATATCACGGTATATTTATATGCGCGATATTTATGATTGTGTGATTTTTTTGTCATATATTTACATACAATACTGTATTTTCTCATGTCTCGACAGTAATTTATGTAAATATGACAGAAATAGTATTATATGTAAATATATGTGACACAAAATAATTACACAGTCATAAATATCGCGTATATAAATATACCGGGATATAAATACCGTGCTTACCCTTAAATTTTCTAATTTAAACACCGTTCTAAGTTAGACATTTAATTTTTTAAATAAAAATTGGTTTTAAGCACAGTAATAATTTTTTTCTATATCTGCAACAATTGGCGACAATGGTAAACCCATCGGGGCACCGAAAACTTGTTTAGAGATTTTATTATTGAATGAAAAATATGTAGAGTCAAAAACTAGACGGATGGAGGCTAAAAATTCTTCTAATAGAATTTTTATTTTTTTTTAAATATAATCCCATCTTTTTTTAACACTATTTAATGGCAGTTCTATCGGAACGTTAGTGAACAAGGACACTACATCAAGCGATATTAAAATGTAATTAGAATCAAAATAGGTTCCATTTAATTTTTCGATTAAATGGAAGCCATTTTTTATGTAACTAGGTGCTTCCGGTATACTATTGACAATAATGTTATGTAAGAATAAGGATAGAAAGTATAAAAGACTATCAATTGAAGATACAATTACTCTTAGAGGATAACCAGACTTATGGATTTTAGTTAAACCATATGCTCTAGACAAATTGCCATCCGTCGTAAGTAATTTCCTATATGTGGAATCATCAATAAAAAAAAGCCACTCTTTTTCCATTTCACTAATAAAGAACGTAATTCAGTAGTTAACTTAATTGTAGGATCTTTATCTATTATATGTATCCTCGTCAGAAAAATTCTCAATTTGCTTCTTACGAATTAAATTGACTCATTGTTTCAATTACTAATTATATCCTGGTTTATCAATCGCAGTTGAGGTATATGTACAATAATTTTATTTATTAATACACACTTTAATATAGTTGTCTATTAAAATAAGGATTGTATATACCAATAATTTTGAATATAACGATCATTTATTCATTGTTATTTTAATTTTTATAATCTATTCTATTAATTTGATAACAGAATGTGTGCTAGTATATTTTTATTTAATGACTCATCATGTTCAATATTTTATCATTATGGACTTATTACGACTGTTATAATGGAAGAATATAACCGATAATATTACCAGAACGAAAAGTATTGCATTGTTGCGGAAGATAAATATGAAGAAATACTACCAACTTTTTGCGTAACTATAAATTGTATAATTTGTATTTAACATAACATTTTATTAATTTTGTCAAATTTGAGTTTAATTTCTTTACACTGAGGATGATCTAATAATAAGGTCGAAACGTGTTTTAAAAATTTTAAATACATAAAAATCTGACTTGTAGCCCCTTCTTGTTATTTATTGTCTAAAAATTCAATCTTTCAACCTAAGAATATCTAAGGCCGGTTTTCATAATCCGTTTTTATTTCAAGAACATCATCTTAATTAAGTAATATCTTAAAATGCTAATATGGCTCTATGTGATTGGCTTATGACATCTTAAAATTATACTTAAGATGATCCTAAATATAAAAATCAATTATGAATATCGACCAAAAAAGATAAAGAGGGTCTCTATTTTGGAAAAATATGAGGTATACATATGAGGAGAAAAAAAATTGGAAAGGTGTTCTATAAATAGAACAGTAGAAAGAACTGAGTTAAAAGCTCATTAAAATCGGAGATGGACGCTTTATATAGTGCCTTTTTTTCTTGGTAAAAATATATAGAAAAAGATAAAAAGATAAACCAAGACTAAAATAAATCTTCATTGGTAGAAACGGGCATAGTTGAAGATCGAAGTACAACAATAATATGTAATTTACGCGGATGAGGGTGAGAATCGCGCGGAGATCTTGGTTTCTCATAAAACGGCAAGCGCGTTACAATAAAACTGACGATTTATACGTTCTGTCATTCTTCTTGACCACGTGCCGTAACGTAATGTAATGTAGTATACATTAACTTGGCATGTACGCGACGCTTGATCCTTTTGCGACGCGCGAAACGCAAAATATAATAGTTACGATGTATATCTCTGGCATGTATTTTCCTGATTAGCATGCAGTATTATTAAACATAAAGTAAGCGAATTAAGGCTCAGAGTTTCAATAAAAATTTAATAAAAAAGATGAGCCAAGGCAGATATTAGTGCGAAAAAATTAAATACAAAATTTATTTATATACACGGTGTCCCGAAATTCGAAGACAATATTATTACATCAATGAAATTTCGTGAAAAATCAAGTCGAAAAGTTCTCTACCATTTTGCAATTTTCGCAATAGTTGACAAGATATTAATTATATTAAATATCGCCGAATAATGGTTTTCAATAATTTTGTTACTCAAGTATTATAAACTTTACAGAAAAACAGCAAAAAATAAAAATTGTTTATTTTCTTCTCAATGTTTTACTTCTTTCTATAGTAATCAATTTTCTTGCATCGCCAGATTTTACATCACTAATTCATCTCTGGCAATTTGTGAGTGACACAACTTTTTTGGATATGCGAGCGTTTTCTTATATTGTTATTTTGCTGAAGGGGACTCCAAAGTAAGTTGAAACGTTCAAAATAAAGAAGACACGTTTATTGACAAAATATACGTAAATTTCATTATTTCAAGATCTTGCGCTTGATCACCTGCGTTTGACTTAGCCTTGATTTAGTTAGTTATGTTTATATAAATTATAGTTACAGCTAACTGAAAAACGAATGAAATCCTTTAAATAATATAAGCAGACAAACAAATCATCAACATGCGACTGATAATTAAAATCTTACAATTTAATCTCAGTCCAGTAAAGTGCCAGCCAGGTCTCGGCAAAGTGTAAAAAATAGTCGAATTAAATTGTAATGAAAATTCTTAGATCAAGCCAGATATTGCGGCTTATCGTCACGAAGAGTGAAACGAAAGTGCTGGTGATTGTTTATCATCAAGAATTAATTTACTAATGTAATACAATTATAAAAGTGTAACAAATATTTTATGTAGCATAATAAAAATATATAAATATAAATATGAATATAAATAACGATAAGATTGAAAAGCTTAATCACTACTTTCTGAGATCGCTACAGATTACGTTTTACTCTTCGTGACGATAAGTCACATTATCTTGGCTTGATCTAAGAATTGTCACTTTACAATTTAATTCGACTATTTTTTATACTTTGTTGAGACCTGGCAAACACTTTATTGGACTGAGGTTAAATTGTAAGATTTTAATTGTTTAATCATGTATTGATGATTTGTTTGTCTGTTTATATCTGTGAGTATATAAAAAGATTTCATTCGTCTTTCAGTTAGCTGTAACTATAATTTATATTTGATCTATCTCAATATTAAGGGTCCAACATCAATACTGCAAGAAATATGTATATATCTTTGGACGACAATCTTAACATAATAGTTTGCGAATACGAATATTAATTGTAACATTTTCTTGTTTGCGCACGTTTGGCTATAAGAAGTTGTTGAAACGTTTACACATTTATATACCCATACCGTATATAAATAAATTTTGTATTTAATTTTTGCACACTAATATCCGCATTGGCTCATGATGGTGTATTATTAATACTACTTGTAATTCTGCTGTCGGCTTATCAACACACGCAGCCAGATATTTTCGATGTTGCAGCGGCGCGGCGATTCGCTTGCAAATTTAATGTTTTTGCTCGCGCATATGTCACTTCCATATTATCGAGCGGATGCACAGTGCGGGAATATTGAATTTGTAAATGGCGAGAGTTATATCACGATGGATCCTGATGGACGCGCGCGGAGACACGGGGACGTCCGATTAATCGCTAAATCTCGACTCTTGCGGAAATTGCTATCTACGTGACGCATCCGACGTGCCAAATGCATAAAGTCCGTTTTTGCACGATCTATAATTAACGACATAGGAATCTGATCTGTCAATTTCGTGCTGTACACGTGCGCGAGCGAAGGCGCTTCTAATTTTTCCGTGAGTCGAAATCGATAAGCGGACAGCACGGTATCGAACGTGTCATGTTGCTGCTGTTTCATGTTAACTAGAGTCAACTACGAACGCACGATAATCCTGCGAGCGTGATTTTATTTCCATAAATGTTAATAAATTATTAGGCGAAGATCCTTGAATATAATTTTCTCTTCGCTTATCTGTGTATTGTTTCTATACATTTTATACAGACAAAAAAATTAATTCTCTCATAGAAATTCAAAGCAAAAAACACGGGATTATTTCGGTTGAATCGATTAGTTCATCTAATTAGTTCTTTGTCTCATTTTCAGAGAAAAACGTACTGACAACATTTTTGTAAAGGTGATACATGTACAGATATGTGCAAAAATATTAGTCACAATTTTCTCGCATTTTACGAAAAATTAAATTTCTCGGCAAAAAGAAATTTCAGAGATTTTTGAACATGCATTTTAAAGCATAAAGATAAGGCTTTAAATCTGCATTCGAATCTTTTGTCTACGATATTTTGTTCCTAAGTTATATAAAATTGAAAAATAATATCTTTGCAATATTTTTGTCTTACTTTAAAGCGCAAGAGTTCAATAAAATATCAGCAAACAAAATTTAATATGAAAGTATCTTAAAGTAGGCTTCCTAAGCTCTAAAATGCTTTTTGAAAAAACTTTGTACGATAATTTTTCACAAAAATATCGTATTTTTTATTATGTGAAATTTTATTGTGTACAAACTTTTTTAAAATTGATAATCGAATAAAGTTTTTAAAAAAATTTGAAAAAATTTATACGAATCAAGAACATTATAACATTTTTCCTCTTTTGTTTTTTTTCCGTATATTTTTTTAATTTCGGAATTAAAAATCATTTTAGAAAAAGGAAGTTTTTACACAATGAAATTTCACATAATAAAAAATACAATATCTTTGCGAAAATTTATCGCAAAAATTTTTTTTTAAAAAGCATTTTAAAGCTTAGAAAGCCTACTTTCATATTAAATTTTGTTTGTTAATGTTTTATTGAACTGTAGCGCTTTAAAATAAGACAAAAATATTTCAAAAATGTTATTTTTCGATTTTATGTAACTTAGGAGAACAAAATATCGTAGACAAAAGATTCAAACGCAGATTTAAAGTCCTATCTTTACGCTTTAAAATATGTGATCGAAAAAAACTTTTGTGAGATTTCTTTTCGCCGAGATATTTAACTTTTCATAAAATGCGAGAAAATTGTAAGTGCCTAATACTTTTGCACATAATGTCTGTATAAGTTTTATGTGTAGAGTTAATGTACACACATACACACATATTTGAATAAATTAATGTTAAGGAAACCTGAGAGCACACATTAGAAGTTACAAAAACTCTTAAAAATATTTTTAAATATAAGATTTGTTATCTCAGTTATATTTATAAAGAATTAGAGAATTATAAATACTTTAAAATTGATTGAATATATGTATTTAATAAATATTGATTAATTTTTGAGAAAGAAATAAAAACACATTTTTAAAGAAATGATCCAAGATGTCTCTCTCATACTTGGGACTGTACGTGCATAAATGTATGTTTATTAAAAAAATAATTATGACACAAAAGTTAAAAAGAAATTTCAATTAATTTATACATGTTTAGCATATAGTTACTGAATGTAAACTTTTGTAATAATAAACATAAGTACAATTAATAACTATAATAGAACAAAAAATCCATAAATAAAACTATGAGAAATAGCTATTGATATACATAAAATATAAAACTTATAAAAGTAAAATAAAATAAAATTAATTGCTTAATTTATAAGTTGTCTTTCTAGCGCATATTGTCCTTCTAGCACTATTTTGTATTGTCACGTTTCATAAATATTTAATGTATGACTCATGGTGCCTCGATTACACTTAATAAAAAAAACGGTGAAAAATGACTAAAAAATAAATAATTGACAATTATATTTGTGTATAGCAAGATGAGAAAAGATATGTAGAAACTTGCATCCCATATTCAATATGTATATCTTTACAACAATATTAAACCATTTTTAAATGATTAAAAAGTTACTTTCATACCACGAAAACTATTAACAACATGAGACAACGGAGTTTGAATACTGCCATCTATATGGGCAACAAAGTAACAAAGTTAGTAATGAGCAACAGTCTCATGTACCAGTTGTATCAATTTAAAAATTACCCTAAACACTTGATGCTTCATGGTACTATGTGATGATTTATGTTATTGGCTGCTTTCCAGACACAGATGACACAGTGTAACACAATGAATCATTATATCCTTGTTATTTGCTAATGTTAAACGAAGATGACATGATCACTGTATCACACTGTGTCGTTTGCTGGAAAGCACCAATTATATAACTGGGGTGTTCCAGTCTCTCCTACATAATTAAAAATAATTATTTTACAGTTATTATAATTATAAAATTGTTTCTTTAATTGTGTGTGTGCGCGCGTGTGTGTAGATTAATTCTACATATAAAACGTAATTATCATCATCACGTCTATTTCTCTAAGTGCATAAAAAAGAGAGAGACTGAGAGAGAATCAGCTAAGTTTCAGTAAACTCTCTCTCTTTTTTCCATTGACGAGCGCACGTGCGATCGTTATCTCTGGTCAAATAAGGAAATCAATTAGGTACCTAATAACACACGTGTTCGGATTGAGAAGAACGTGCGGTTGGTCTCTAAGCAACCATGAGTACGCCGTCCATTTTTTCGATAAAAAAAAAATAAGGTCGTGGAATCGCACATTTGAGAGGATTGGCGCGTACCGCTCGCTTACCTGTCTGTAGGTGTCCTCGATGGTCGGAATGTAGGACTCGCGGAAGGACCCCTTCACGAAGCGCAGCACGAGGGAACTCTTGCCAACGCCGCCCGCCCCGAATACGACCACACGATAGTCGTTACTCTGCTCCGGCATCCTGACATCTGCCGTCCCGGCGACGTAAACCCCCGGCACTCGGGGTCCGCGTAGAGAGAGAGGACGATGCAGGGGATGAGACAAAATGAGAGAAAGAAGGGGAGTGAGCGTGCGTGTGCGTGCGTGCGTGCGTGTATACGAGACGATCACCCTCCTCAAACTCCCGATCACACCACCTGACCTGCCGGATGACACACAAGTTATACCGGGTGTTCCGAAACCACGTGTCCTAAGGTCTATTCTTTGTCGCTACACTGGATATTATACTAAAACTTTCTTCCTTGTTTTCATACAAAGCCGTGCAAAAAGTTTTTGAGATCCTAGTGCAAAAGTAAAGATGACCCTGTTCATAAATTTTGTATTAACAAAGCTCTTTAAAAACCCTAAGGTCTATTCTTTGTCGCTACACTGGATATTATACTAAAACTTTCTGCCTTGTTTTCATACAAAGCCGTGCAAAAAGTTTTTGAGACCCTAGTGCAAAAGTAAAGATGACCCTGTTCATAAATTTTGTATTAACAAAGCTCTTTGAAAGGTTTAGAAAATATAACAAAACAGTATAAATAAAATTATGTCGGATCACGAGCCACTAATTGTATATTCCTGTCATAGAAAGTTAAATATATAGCTATTTGATTAGGTAAAAAATTGCATCATCGATATATGTATAATTTCATATTCTAAATTTTTCATATAAAAATTTCATTAGATTTAAATTATTATTTGCTTTTATGAAGAGTATAAATGAAACATAAATGAATATCATTTGCATATGCAAATTAAATTGAATAATTAATAAAATTATTAATAACTAATATATAGTTATGAACTAATAAAGTGATTAACTTAAAAAGAAACAATAGATATAAAATAGATAATTTAAGTAAAACTCCGGGACTCCTTAATTAGCATTAGAGGCCTTCGTACAGTGCACCTCCTCTTTGCACAGCCCTGTATATATGTATATATTTTATTTCAAGTACAAATGTACAGTACACAGGAAAAACGATTTTGCGGAAGTATTCAAAATTTAGGTAGATACAAATTTGAAAATATAATTTTATTAGACCATCAAAATAATTAATGTAAGAAATTCAAGCATAAAGAGAGTAAGACCCCAGAAAATTTTGACATTCTAGCAACCAGCTTAAACGTACATTTTACATAATTATTTTAATAATTCAACAAAATTATTTTCAGACCTGTATCTAGCTAAATTTTTAGATGCTTAGGTAAAACCATTCTTTCTGTGTAGCTCAGCTACAGAAAGAGAACAAAGATTTTTTCTAATCTCCCGACCTGGGAAACGATTCTTCTCCCTGACGGAAAATATCGATCGGCGGTCTGGTTTTGCGAATGGTTATTCGAATATTAAGGGAGAATATTAATTGGTCTTCCAATTTTATATCGCGTGTTCTGATTTTCAAATTAAGCTTTTAGAAAATAAAATCCAGAGACTAACTGGATGACGGCAATGTTATCGTTCATTTTTCTTTTTTCGAATTTCAGCATAGAATTAATGACGAGCGTCTCAATAGTCTTTCTTGAAGGAAGAATCGCCTCCAAGTCGAGGCAAGACATCCGCGTGGCGAAAGAGTATATCCGGTGGTAACGGAACACCCCATGTATAAACGCGCACGCCACGGCCTCCGCTCCGCGCTTCGCCCACGCGGTGAATAATCTGAACCCACGAAAGGTTACATCTATTCCGTTCTTCCGCGCATATCTCGTGACGTATACCCCTCCGATGACGACACCCACGAAACCGCATCCGACCGTAAGCACCCCGTGTCCCTCCTGCCCCTTCGCGCAGCCATATGCGGGTCTGTTCCTGTTCGTGTCTCTCCCTATATCTAATTGCTGGATTTTATATACTTCACTTGTACGGACGACTATCGAGAATACAAATGTATTTCTCCTCCTTTTTTTTTTTATTTCAAGAATGGCACGCGAAAAAAATGTAAACGATAAAACATAAAGAGTTGACTAATCAAAATTGAGAATTCTTGAGAACGTAAGCCTACAATTTTGAAATTCTCGAATGTGAATGATCGATTCGCGTATTTTGTTTATAAATCTTGCTGCTTACATTATTGTGCATGTCAAGACGGACAGGTGTCGTCTTTAGCCGGTGCGGTGCGACCGACCGTCCGCGAAAAGTCTATTCTTTCCACTTGTATCATCTACATGTATGTCTCTCTTCGCAAGTCCTCTTTTTCCTTCCCTTTCCCCGCTCAATCTGAATATATGTACAATATTTGTTTCACCTTAAGTGTACTTTTCCTAAAACTAAGAAAAACAGATCTGCAGAGAAACGAAAGTAAATCCATTTAGCTGCGTGTTTAATTTAGCACTTATGTTGGTATATTTAAGATTAAACAACGAGAAGAAAAGAAAAAGCTGACCTAATTTTTTCTCTCTCGAAAGTTTAATAAAAAATATCAGGATTGTTAAGAAGAACGAGAGAGGAATGAGAGAACTAAAGCATTATCTGATTAATATACTGTTAAACCTATATAGCGTCAAATTTTTAATTTAATTTAAGTCGATACTGCTTCTATTCAATATATCGTTTTTTATACCAAAACAACGGATAAATCTGATACTATTACTAAAGCACTGCATGTATAGTGTCAAATTTATCCATTGTTTTAGTAATAGTGTCAAATTTATCAGCTGTTTTAATAAAAAAAAAAACGATATATTGAGTAGGATAAGTGGCTACTTAAATTAAATTAAATTTGACACCATAGATTTAATAGTGTAATGTTTCCATGTACGTGAAACACGAACATATAATATTATAGTAATAAAAAAAAACAAACTGGCATATAGCTAAAATTATAACGCACGTTAATAAAAGAAAATTCAAATTTTGTCAGTTTAAATAAAAAAAAAGTCGTACTCTCTCCAACATCGGAATAATTTTGCGAACAAGACAACCAGAATTTTCCAGATTTTTTGCGCAATTTCGACAAATTTCAATTTTGACGCTGGGTGCACGAGTATTGTATTTAATATCACTTTACTCGCAAATTGTCGTATTTGCATCGGCGGAAATGAAAAGGATGGCTCTCGTGCGACATTGGAATATTCAGAACACGAATTCACCGAAATTACAGGAACAATCAAGCCGCCAAAAATATATGACTGATCCAATTCGCGATCGTCACGGCGCGGCGCGGCGTGACGTTATATTCTCAAATCACTCGTTTCTGATGAAATACCGTGAATTATGGAAATGGAGAAAAGAGTATCTCTGCCATTTTCGAGAGAAATTGTGTTGTCGCCGTTCTATTTCCTTCCCCGAATGCATATCACAGCTATCCTGATCGGCCGGATTCCACAGTTTCCACACATCTACAGAATTTTCGTCATCGTTCGAGTCACGCAAGTCCACGACATCGTCGATCGTTTATACGTAATAAATACACGATATCGCGTTTCGCTGGTCGGATATTCACCGCACACTTTCGCCGGGCGGGCCATTTCTTCCATTATATATATATAACGATTGCCGATTGTCGAACCTCCGCGTCGACGCGGTCTGCACGCGGACCATTGCTCTGAATCCTGATCGACGGCCGTGGAGCGCGCGACATTTTGCGACGTGTCGAGAGATTCATCCTCCCCACGATTCTCGGATTTCGCGGAAACCGCCGCGAGCGAGACGAGCTCCGAAAATTGGAGAACTCGCGCGTGTACGCGGAGAACAGTAATATCCCAGGTAGCAAGTTGTGACGTTATTCATAGTCATTTTGACATCAGAATGACGTCTTTAACGTCAATTTTCTGACGACGAATAATGTCAGCTTGATATCTTCCAAGTATACGGAAAAAATGGTTCAAGTATCTAAATTTATCTACATAAGAGATACAGATCTGAAAATAATTACATAGATAATGAGCAATGTTGCAAAAAGTTTAGACATTCTAGCAACTCTAGCTTGAGTGACGTCCTACATAATTATTTTGATGGTGTGAAATAAAATTTGTTTTCAGATCTGTACCTATATTTAGCTAATTAATAAATTTGAGATACTTGAGTAAATCGTCCTTCTCGTGTATGTACTGGCGATAAACGCGCGCTAGCTTCACCAGTGTGTTTCAACCAGCTTTAATGCACTTTTTCAAATGGTTATAGGAAAGAGTAAAAAAAAAAGAGCGAAGGATAAAAAAGCGCGGTCACGGGAGAAACGGACCCAGCCAGCGCAGCGAGGCGGCACGAACCCCGGGGATCGTGGCCGTCGTCGGTCGCGTTAGTATCGACGACTCGACGATAAGCGGCAATGTTCGGCGCGTTCGACGAGGGCATTAGCGGACGGCGCGGACGGATGGCGAAGAGCGAAGGGCGGTCGGAGATGTGTGCGACAAGATGGGGAAACCTGCCGTTGCGGTCGGGCGACAGAGGACACCTTCTCGCTCGCGGCTTCTCTCTTCGGTTCCGCAGACGGGCCACGCTCGGCCGCGCTCGATGATTCTCCTCGCGGCTGTCGCTCCGAATCCGCAGTCTTTAACCCACGCCGGAGCGTCGTATCGCGTCACTCGCGCTGCGTACGCGTGCGTGAGTGCGTACGGTACGTGCGTGGGTTCGCCAATGACGCCAACACGCGCTTAGACAGGACGACGCTTTTCTCCTTTCTTTACGTTACGTTACGCCCGTTACGGAATCGCGGCGAAGCGACGCGACGACGCGGCGAACTAGGCTAGGCGGCCTAGGCGCTGCGCGGCGGCCACCCGTTCGAACGTCAACCCCCCTGAAGTCCGCCCCGCTCGCCGCTCGCCGCTCGCGGCTACCCTCGCACGTAAGCGGCGAGCAGCGATCGAGCGCGCGACTCTTGAGTGCGACCCGCACTATTTAAACACGTCGTCGTGTCTCTTTCTTTTTTTTTTCATCCATCGAGATCGCGCCTCACGATTTTCCCGTGATCCACACGACCTGTTTTTCACCCGCTTCCTCTTTCCCTTCTCTTCCCTTCTCGTGCTTTCCTTTCCTACAATTCCTACATCACGTCAACTTGAATGATCTCGCGCCGACGAAAAGCAAGTGCGCGCGCTCCGCGTACGTGGTGTGTGCGCACCGCCCGCTCAAAGCATCACGCGGAAAATCAATAGCGCTTTCGTGTATGTGTGAATGAGTGAGAGCGCGCGCGCATTTATATGTGTGCGTGCGTGCGTGCGTGTGTGAGACGGCAATGACGTGAAGGTCCATCCTGATATGGGTGCGAATTAAGATCTATCCAGACAAACTTGCGTAGCTGTTAAACTATATACATAGAGAAAATTATCCAATCGTATCTCTATAACAAGGTTGCGTTGAAAATACAATTGAATAATTCTCTTTACGCATGCATGTCTGAATAGATCAAGCAGATTGCAATTTCAATGATTTGAATTTTGACAAAACTAATATGTTGTTACGATGGTCTCCATTCTACATGTGGAACAGTCGCTCGATTAAAAGTTTTCTAGTCTTCTCACATAATATGAAAACATTATTCTCAATTTAGAGTTTAGTTTATGATTAATATGTAGACATTCCTAATTTTTTTCGAATTTTTTTTGACCATATCATTTTCTTTGAATAATTCTCTAAACTAGCTGAAGTCTTATGAGGATTTTAAGTAATTTAATCGTAAACAAAATTAATAAAGAGGGATGGGGAATGGGGGTGAAATTTTATTTTTTTAATTTGAGAGTGTTTAAAGAACATTTTGAAGTAAAAAAATAAAATTTTATTTCTTTACATTTTTTATTATTTATTATTTAAAAAATAGCAATGACCAAAACTTGTAAAAAAAACGGTAAAATATATGAAAAATTATATGAATCTCCTCTTCTTCTCTTTTTTTAAGCTAGAGAATTTTCTTGAGGCTCCCGAGTTGTCGCGGCGGCCATGTTGGAATTGTGACGTCAGAAGTGAGAAATGCACGTTAATTTATATTGCATGCCATTTGTAAATAAAGACAATTTGGATGAAACAAAATGACGAGATCGCTTTAAAACAATTGTAAAAATCGATAAAAACTGTCCTTTCCTCCCTCGACAGTTAGTAAATGGTCGTAAAAGGCACATAAAGTGAGCCTATATTCGGGCAGAAATACACGGTCTGATAACTGTTGAAACGAGTAAAATATACTCTTTTACATATAAAATTCCAAGATAACTTTAATTTTCAACGATAATTACGACTTTGATAAGTACGAGATAAGTCACATTTTCACAATTAAGTAAATAATAACGAAATGGCATGCAACATAAATTTCGTCATTTTTCCACGCTTATAAGTTCAGCTATTTATTGTGGTGAGGCGCTGTAACACATGTATTATACATGGGTTCGTGCTTTTGTGTGTGGCTATAGGTTTACCAGGCCGCCGTCTGATTCTGTGTCGCTGACTGAGTACTCGGGAGACTTAAGAATATATTAGGCTTAAACCTATCAACACACACTTATACACGAGCAACATCCTTAAAGAAAATAATTCACATGTTGTACAAAGAAGACTCATTCTAAAATGTGTAGTAACTGTACAAAAATACATATCTTTTTGTTTGCAAATAATACTTTAAGAATTTATTAAATTCACTTTTGTTTATTACGTAAATACAATTTATACAAGAGTAATAATAAACATCCATTAATTCTTGAGGGTTTTTATGTACAAATACTTACAGATATGCATTTGCGTATTTTTACATTCTCACTTCGTTTCTTTCATCAGTGGATTTTTTATCACAGGACCGGTCCCTTCACAATGAATGCTGTCGTAGGTCCATTTGCGATTATTCCTAATAAAGTCACAACTCAAATAATTATTTTACAATAAAACAGGTTAGACGCTCTGCTAGATACCGAAAAATTCATAAAATTACCTGCAGTCGTGGGCACATTTTGGAGAAGAACACTTGGAACACGGAGAATGGCATCCTGGACAATTCAAGCTCAAACAGTCGCAGAGATCATCCGATGTCCGTATAAAAATGCCTTCATCGTTGTATAGGTGCTTCCTGTAGCTCTGGTATAATCGACGATACAGCTTGCGCTTCTCTCGTTCGCTGTGCTCTGGATCGAAGTTTCTCAAAAATTTTTTGCTCAAATTATCCACGGCTCTCTGTCTCGAGCCCCGAGTACTCTTCTGTGAACAGAGCATGAATACGATTTTAATCATCTTCCTTTTTCTCAGTGATTAACCGATTGTTGAGTAACCGATATGCAAAATAGCTATATATAAGTAGCTATATATAAAAATATAAAAAAAAATTATGTATTGGGTTGGTATCTCTGAATTCCTCGGTTCTTCTTGGTAACAAATTGAACTCTTTAAAATGTCCTGAAATAGTTAAATCCCATACAATTAAAAGAGTAAGACAGATCTAATTGCAAAATAAGTTAAATCCCTACTGTGTGTTGTAGGAAGAAAAGTACGAAAGGAGTTAAACCCTCATATCTTTACTGTTGCAAATATACATAGTTATATCCATTTTAATTATATTTAAGAAAAATGACAGATATTTTACTCCAAAAGCTAAAGTTCTTTCTACAGGTAAGTGCATTTTTTATATTTTAATAAGTATAAATTGTACTCTTCATTTCATATTATACACATTTTGTTAAACAATGCATTGTAAAACAATGAATTTTGCATAGCTTTTAGAAAAAAAAGATTTTATTAATAGCATGAATAAAAAAATTATATGCAAGTTTCTTCGCTCCCGCCAAAAAAATTTCAAATGGAGATATACGAGTACATATGTATAATAACTTTTGCCAATGGACTACTCAATTCTATGTGAACAATTAATTCTTCCGTTATTCTGAGGAGCACTTAGGTGGGAATATGAACACAGCCCTGCAAGTAATGAATGATAAAAGTAGAATGAAGCTCACAATACATAAGCATCAAAACCAAATGCAGCTTACGCAGTAAGCTGTCCTTTTCAGCTGAATCTTGCATGATTCATCATTTATTTCTTTCTCCAATGTGAAGATAAAAGAAAGAAAGATGAACTATACAACAAGTTTAGTTAAAAAGAATAAATCTATCAGGTTGGAACGTCAGAAATATCCCATACAAGAGTAATTACGTTGTAAAACAAACCACGCGAGTGATGTGAGATTAAATGAAGCGCTCACTCTTTCGCCACGCACAGACGTTAGATTGCTCGATGAACTTTCGCCGGAACTCTCCATTCTTTGATTGTCGATTGATTGCATAAAAACACATAAAAGTTTCTAAGAAGAATTCAAAAATATTTGTCGCATTTGTCCTTAAATCCCTACTTGAGATAAATAATTCTGGAGAGATTTTTGCTAAAAATGAGAAGAATCTTGGACTTATTAAAGTTAATACAACTAAATTTTATACTTTGACATTCGTAAAATAATTTGATAGTTATGAAGGAGACGAGCTTAGAAAAATCATTGAAATTAAGTTTACTCGATGCGTTTTTGGATGAAACAAAAGAACCTGGCGGAAAAAAATATTGCTCTGCCTCGTGAATTAATCGTTAAAGACGACGAATATTCAGGTTAGGAAATATGTCACAATGCGATCAAAAATAGGTTTGGTTTTACTGCCAGGCCAGTTAGGGTGAAATCACACTGTGCGGAAAACGACTGCGGAAATTCCGCAGGCGCAAGTACGGCTTGCTGATTGGTCACCGCAGCATTTGCCGGAGCTCACCGCATACATGGAGTCTTAGCTTTAGCTTAAGGCTGATGTCACATTGGACTGCGTTCGGATTCCCACCTGGGTGCTCCCCGGATGTTATATCATCCTTGTTGTTTACTGGACGTTAAACAAGGATGACACGACACCCGAGGAGCACCCGGGTGGGAATCCGAACGCAGCCTTGAGTGGTTCATGCGGCAGCGGGACAAAAATCAACCAATCGTTAAATACTAATAGGAACAGATATTCTTTAGAAAATATGAAAGTACTTCGTGATTGGTCGAATTTTGTTCCTCTGCCGCATGAACCGCTCAATGTGACATCAGCCTAAGCAACTCGTGAAAATTTTCCTGCGCTCAACTATTGAGTCTGTTGAGTGAACGCAGCCATTATGTTTCCAGCTTAAAAATCGGATTTTGACACTTTATGATGTTGCCTTATTAGAGTTACGTTTCAGCTGCGTTTGACAGTCGAGAACTGTGAACTGTCGAGAACCAAGTGTGAACAACGAAAGTGTGAGTTTAAAAGGTAATAGCGAGGTTTGACATTATTAAATCGATAGATAAAGAAATAAGCTTTCAATTTACAGTTGCGATACACGCATGTCGTTTGAGTAACGACGGCGTTCCATTCGATTGATTCGATCGAAAGTGCTTGACCGCATAGCCTTAGTACGCGAACAAGGGGTAGACCTCGAACGGCTCGAACACCTAGAACATTCGTCTACGTTTAGCAATAGTAACAGAATCCAAGCAACTCGAAGGAGATTATCGAGATGGCCCAATCGTACAGCATTGTGGAGTATTACGCGGAACACGAGGGCTATCAATGCGGCTACTGCAAAAAACCTGATACAAACTTCAGTCACGGTAAGCGCAAAAACACTGCCATTGAAAACACTGCACTTTTGCTTCGTAGAGCCTCTGATGTCTTCTAACGTCATTTTGACAAACAAGCTACGTTCTCTCTTCTTAAAAAACTTTAAAAAAGCAAATCCAAACATTGGAATAAGTTTTATTTGAATTTTATTTTGATAAGTCGTCGCTTATTGCACAGGTATGTGGGCGCACTCATTGACAGTACATGATTACCAAAGCTTAATAGATAGAGGATGGAGGCGGAGTGGCTGTTATTGTTATAAACCCATGATGAACCAGACCTGCTGTCCACAATATACCATTAAGTGAGTAATATTTCTTAATCCTAAGTTTTGAGACAGAGAGAGACAATTTTACTTAACTATAAATAATAGCGAATTCAGTCATTTGCATTAAATTAGATTTGATGCATACTAAAAGCTGCTATACATGAAATTAGCACAATTAAATGTGCATATAAATACTTTAAACAAATACTTAACAATATTGGTATGTTATTTAACAAAATATATACGTATTATTTTATTATCAAAGTTGATTATATTAATTCATTGCATTTAAATACTTTAGCTGTGCTCCAAAATTCACTGCCAATGCTGAAAATCTATAGCACACATAATGTAAACTATATATTTTTTTAGTGATGGCTGTAAATTTTGGAATGCAGTTTATATAAAGCAGTCTTTAATGTACACTAGGTAATTTAGTGTAGTATAAAGCCAGCAGCACACGATGCTTGTTTTCCTGCTAGATCATATACGAGGCGTTATGCTAGCAGCTGTGCTGGCTGCACTACTAGAAACATGGCATACTATGTGCTGCCATGCGTGCTAACATGCTAGTTTTCAATGATAGATCTGGTGCTATTTTTCTTACGAGATTTACTGCTAGGTAGGTAAAGAATTTAGATTAGAATATTCAACACAGAAGGTATTATTTAAAAAAAAAGATAATATTTAACATATATTTTACGTAGTAATATTAATAAACACATAAAAAAAATAAGAATAAATTTACAGAAAAATGGGAGCTGTTATTAAAAGGTGAAAGCTAGCTGCGGTTGCTCCTCTCCTTTTAATAGCAGCTAGAGAATGGGAGCAAAAAAAGAAAAAAAAATTATACAATAGAATATATACAAAGCAATAGAATATACAATAGAATATATACAAGCATCAAGCTAACTCGCGAGTAAATTAACACATGTGAAGCTATGACTAGCAGCGCTTCCATCACAGCAGTACGCAACGCAGACCACAAAGAAACACGCACTGAATCTATCAGTTAAACCAGCAAGAAAACAAGCATCGTGTGCCGTAGGCTTAAGTGACCAAATTTAATGTTTCTAAATTTGAAGGAGATATGATTTTGATTAATTATGAATGAAACAAAAGTTCGACGCATTAAACATGTATGGATAATGATTTTTAGATGCGAAGCTCTAGATTTTAGAATATCAAAGTCTCAGAAAAAGATCTTAAAGCGGATGACTAAATTTTTGAGGAATGAATTAACGAAGGATAATGTTGGGGGTACGGCCGAAGATCAACAAGATAATATAGGTAAAATTTTTAGAATATTTTTTGATCTGTGTATAATAATGATTGTATTCAATAGAAAAAACAACTTTATAATTATTATAAGATTTTTAATTTTTTGTGGTCATACTTTTTAAAAGTTCTGTAATGGTCACACCGGGATCAAAATCACTCAAGAGCACATTTAACCGATTGCCGTATTTATTTTTTTTTCTATGAAAAAAAAATAGCTCACTAACTTTATAATATTTATAGACATAAGCAACGAAGAAGCATTAAATTATTCTAAGCATCTGAAGAGAGCGCAGAAAAACGAATCTCAGATCAATGTTTCGTCTGTTGATGATGAAGTCGACGAAAGATTGTCTATCAATTTAATGAAAACAGAAACTCAAAAGAATTCTACTTTTGTATCAAATAGCAGTCAAGCACAGCTAACAAATACCAATAGCAAAAATAGCCTGCACGTTAGAAATGAAATTGTCGATATAGTACCTTGCAAAAAGGCGAAGCTCTTACGCATAGAGCGTAAAAAAAATAAGTTGCTGGCTCAAGGTAAATCGCAGAATGAAATTGAAAGTATCATGAAAGTAAGGAAGCAACAGAATTGCATTAAAACTGTGGAGGAATTATTCAAGGAAGTGTACACTGGATTGAAGAAGTTGGAGGTAAAATGATGTCATTGATTAAACTCTAAAATTGTTATTATTTATTTTGTCAGATGTTTTCTAATTCTTTATTACTTGTGGAATAATATTCTTTCTTATTTATTGTATGCGTCTCGGTATGGTCCCCTTTTCTCCAATTTTTATGAAAAAAAATAATAAAACAAGTAAAAAGCTTGATTATAGTAAATATTTGTTAAATAATGCTGTTTTATATGTAATGCTGCCTCTATGTCGAACGCTCAACATATACGTTTAATTATATTGCGAAATTAATCTATATCATTTTTTCATCACTTGTTTTTCCTATCTGTTTATAAACCAATTGCAACTAGTTCACATATATTTTATAGAGATAATTATTCGCTTCCTTGTCCAGATAGAGTTTTATGTTAAGTTATTTACACTTTAAGTTAAGACTGGTTCGAACTGCACCGATGAGTTCCGAATATCGAAAGACTTCAAAAGAATCTTATGAGCTTTATAAAAAGTATCAGAACACAATACACGGAGTACCGCCTGAGAAGCTCACAGAGCAACGTTACACGAGATTTCTCGTGAAGTCGCCTCTGCAGGTATTTGTAGATTTAAATTATCTGACAGTCATTTGTTATGCGATAAATTGCACAGAAAGTTATAAGAGAAAATAAAAAAAGTTAAATGAATTTATTTATTCTTCATGTACAATACATGTTAGCAAAATATACACATTATTTCTCGATATAATCGCCTAGCTTTGCAACATATTTTGTACAACGTTCCACAAGTCTTCTAATTCCATTTGTGAAGAAGGTTTTTGGTTGTCCTCAAAACTGAGGGCAACCAAAGGCAATTGAATTTTGCCACTGGCATACCACCGGCCATATAGGGTTTCCTTCAATAGTTCAAACAAATAGGAACTGGAAGGTCAGGATTATAAGATATGAGAGAAACTCAAGTTTCAGTTGTCTTGGAGTTTAGGAAATGATGCATACATGGCTATGAGACCAAAATTCTCTTTGCAGATAGAACCAGAAAATTTATGAGCCGTTATATAAAATGTGCTGCAGCTGAGTAATTATTTTGAGAAACATGTATTTTGTTAACGTGTAATGTACGTGAGGAATAAATAAATTTAATTTACTTTCCGATTTCCTCTCGTAATAATAAATAGAAGCTTTGCGTTTTTGCACGCACGATTCAATTTTTGTTTTCTACTGTCATGTTTGATTAATTTTATTTATATAATCATGTTGCGATATGTTGATAGGAAGTCGCTAATGTTTTCACGATAGTCAAATAAATGCTATATGGAGACAGCTGTATTATCATGATTGGAGCAAAGTGGACCTCGCCTCTTAATTAATTAATTAATTAAATAGGAAACTTATGATTGCATTATCATTGCTTGATGACAATAGTAATTCTTATATCAGATATTATCTTATTTATCGGCTAAACATGAAAAATTTCACGTTTTGTAAATTTGTTAGATGAAATTGGTGAGAGTAATGTCGGACGAATTCCTGAACACTCTCGAAACGAGCGCGAATCTTTATAAAAAATATCAAATGACGATTCATGGCGATACACCGGAACAATGCGATCAAAAGGCATTCTACAACTTCCTTGTGAAGAGTCCCTTGCAGGTACACTTTGTATCTAATCTCTTTGTGTTTACGAACGATATAGAAAATATGATAACTTTACTTTTCGTTGGAGTGAACAGAAATATTCGTTTATATGCATAGTACTGTCACACAAATATTATCTTGTGTTTCATGAAAGTGCAGTCTTTAACCGTTGGCTATGAAAATAAAAGTGATGAAACCAAATATTTCATCAGTATAAAGGATATAATTATTGAAAAGGTTATTCAAAAATATTTCAGAATTCTCTATCTTTTACACAAGAAATATAATTTATCTAAAAAATAGAACCGGTCAATAATAACCGCTTGGTACTTCTAATGTGTACTGGGACTACTGGATCATTTAGAATTTTAACACTACAAGTATCGAATGGTTATTATTGACCGTTTCTATTTTTTAGATTAATATTATATTGCGTAAAAAAGAATTGTGAAAATGTTTTCATTTTTATAATTATGCTTTTTACATTGATAAAATATTTGATTTTATCACTTTCTTTATTTTCACAGTAATTTGTTTGGTCAGTTTTTTTTTAGTGAATAAAAATCATTGACTTCTAGTATTAATGGCTACTCTAAAATAATAACTAAAGGCTTATTCGTTTTAGCTAAACTTTTTGCACGGTTTAGCTTTCCTTTTTCTTGTCATATTGAAGAGGAAAAGAGAAATGATTGTGCAAGCAGTTTAACTAAAAAGAACAGACATAATAATAAAGCAAAATAGCATCTAAAAATATTTTAATTTAATTGCTTTTTAAAGCAATGGATACCCGATAATGGACCACCTCACGGATACGGCTCTTTTCACGAGCAATATTGGCTGGATAACAAATTGATAGCAGTAGGAGTAATAGATATTCTGCCGTCGTGTGTTTCAAGCGTATACTTTTTTTATGATCCTACATACGGTCAACTGTCTCTCGGAACTTTCAGGTTTGTCTTTTTTAAAATTCACTTTTTTACAAACGTTTAATTGTGATATACGTGATTAAAATAGATCAGCTACAATTTTGAATAATTGTTTCCAGTTCTCTTCGAGAGGTTTATCTAACGAGACAGCTCAATAAGGTGGCAAATAATCTGAAATACTATTACATGGGCTATTATATTCATACGTGTCAGAAGATGCGATATAAAGCCAGAATGCAGCCATCGAAACTTCTGTGCCCTGAGACATATGTGTGGTGCGACATCGAACCTTGCCTAGCTAAATTAGACAACGAAAAGTACAGTCGTTTGAATGACGAGATCACCGCCATCGATGAAAATGGTATAGTCGACATTGAAGAGGTAAACTTTTTAAGATAATTTTACAAGCAGTTGTTACACATTTATTGCAAAAGATTATTACGCTTTCATAGTTTTCGACATTTAGTATATCAGAATGTTTACTATCTAGGAAAACCTGAAAAATGTGGAATTTTCAGGAGATTTATTTTTTATCGTTGAAAATCAGGGATTTTTTTTCATGAAATTTTGTTGGGACTTAGGAAAAATTTTTGGAATTTTACTTTTTTCTGTTTTCTTCTAAAACTGTTTAAAACAAATTTTTTTTAATATATATAAAGGCTGCGTTCGGTTTAGATGCTCTTTAAGCGCTTATAATCATTCTGTCTTTATTGTTCGTTAAACAAGGATAATAGTGTTGAAAGCGCCTGATGCAGGCCACACTTCAACTTAAACTTGTCAAGTGTGGCATGCGCAAGCCGCATACATACAAGTTTATTGCAATAATTATTCAATTTTGTCACAAACACGCTCCAATAAACTTGTAAATTGTATGTGGCTTACGTATGCCATACTTGACAAGTTTTCTTGAATATGTGTGGCCGGCTCAAACCGAACGCAACCAAAATGTTGTTAGTTAACAACAAGTACAGCATACACATCCGCGTATATTCACGTATGTTTTCGTGTGTCTCGCAAATTTTTATTTAAAAAGTTGGAATGAGACAATACTCGGCAGAATAGAGTAAATGACTACGTTTAGCAGGAAAAGCTGCTTTGCAACTGTTGTAAAATTCTTCAATATGATTGGTTTACTTAGATCCATAAGGAATTAAATGCAAGAACCAAAAATTGTACAACAGTTGCGAAACTCTATCTAACTGCTTTCTCTATCGAATGCAGCCATTAATACTTTATTATACTGAGCCTTCCCTATACTATCCTCTAAGTTTTGCAGCTCCATTTGTAGATGATAGTATTGTAGAATCTTTGTTTTCTACTAATTTTCAATATAGTTTATTTGTTGCCTATATTTTAATTTATTTCGAAAAGTTGCATTAAAAAAATTCTCTAATTTTACTTGGAATTTTGAACAAAAATAATTGAAAAATCCGGAAATTCTCAGAGAATTTTTTCCAAGATTTGAATAAACGTCTTGTATATTCTAGTAAAATTTAAACTGTAATTAAGTTTCTAATAAAATTCAAATTGTGTTTTATTACAACGTTAAATTTTTTGTTATTATACTGAAACATTTTCTCTTTAGGTATTGATACTGTACAAGAGTATTGCGATGCCGTATAAGAAATACAAAACATTGCGGAAAACGTGTCAGATAACGCATGAAGAAAAACGTGAGGTGGAGGAATATGCCAAATTCGTTGGGATGCCATGTGCACGAAGAATGATGTTCTTTCGTTATTCTAGAGAATAATTATTTAAAACTAATGAACGGTATTATATCTCAAGGAAGGACGGTATTATATCGTGAAACGACTTTGGTGGCTACTTCAGAAGTTAATTGCTGGCCGATACTCATGTACAAAGAAATGATCGAATTCGTTATTCTTAGAAGATTATTGATTGTGTTGTGGTGTAACGATCTGTGATGCAAGCGCTTGAATACTATAATCAGATAATGTAAAAAGCGCAGAATAAATGTGCATTACTTCTTCACCGTCCATGAGCGACTTTGTTGAAAAACGTTTAGAAAAAATTATTTTAGTTTCGTAATAATCATTATCTTAAAGCGTAATTAATCTATTTTTTTTCACAAATCCTTATTCTTCTCCTTTTTTTCCTTGAATTTATAGTATTTAATAATGAATCATTGAATTACGTAAAAATACGAAAAGTTCAGATAAATATTTATTTATTATACGTTTTTGTTATTTTAATATTTTTCTATACTTAAAATATCTCGGTGATTCCGGAACACACAATATTTGCGCATTAGTTGATTGCAAGATAAATGAAATAAAAAGAGAATAACAATTCTTTATTCAATTATGTAGTGATGATGATATAAATATGTAAATAAATTTAATGAAGCGACATTGTCAAATGCGAAAGTAGATAAATAACAAACGAAGTTGTTCAAAGGAATGATATGCGATATGAATTATATCATATGCATTTCTTTAAGTAGTCTAACTTTATCAGACATTTCTTAAATACATATTTTTATTTCAGGTATCTTTTTAAACAGCCTAGTGTTTGAAAAGTTTTTTAGTAGTTTCGATTCCTGAAATAATCTTCAGTTCAATTCTTTTAAACCTTTCTTAAGAACTTTTTAATTTTTCAGTCTTTTTTGAATGTTTCCTGTACTCTATTTAGGAACATTCTTGTCAATAATTAAACTTTTCTATCGTAACGTTCACATGTTATTGTTAAATAAAGATTTGAAAAAATCATCGATTAAGTCCGCGCAGTACTGTCAATAGGCTCCATTTTGGTTTGTCCAGCCCCTACATTTTCTTTTGGATCCTCAATCGGTCGAAGTTCATTCCATTTCTGTATATTACCGCTACCTCCGAACAGGAACACGATCATACTCCCAATACTCACCCCGGCGCCGATCCAGAAGAGTATCTGCCATCTGTCGATCGGATTCTAGTACACAAAGAAGATGGATTTATATTAAAATTTTCATATAAAGGATTGAAAACGCTAACTAATTAGTTTTCTCTGCTGAACGCAGCCATTTAATTGGAAGAGGACGAATGGATCGAACAAAATTTGTGTACGAAAAATTAAAGAAGGAACAATTCTTTTGTCGCAACAATTGGGAACTTTCCGCGTAAGCGTGGTTTCCGCTTGCGTAACGTTGCGTGCATCCGCTGTTCGTCTTCTTTAATTCAAAGACTCATCCTGTCAAGGATCGCGCTCAAACCGTATAATCAAGATTACCGTTGTTAAAGAGACATTAATGAATATTTCAGGTGTGGATAAGAGAGCCACTTGTGCTTGGTCGTTTATATCATGTTGCCATTATGTAATGTTATACAAACAAGGAATGATAACTCGTGATATATTGAAGATCTTGATAATCACGATAATCGTGCGATTATGCGAATTATACAATTACAATGTAAATGAGCAATTTACACAAATAGAAATCCAATAAAAATTTGTCATGCATAAATATGTATAAATATATATAAATATACATAAACACGCATAAATATTCATAAACATGTATATTATTATATATGAAATGTGTTCATACATATTGATACATCCTTCTTTCTTTTGTTAAATTACTTTTTAGTATAATAGAAATAATAATAGTAATGTGAAAACATAAAAAATAATTAAAGAGATAATTTTCGCATAGTTTGTTTTAGAAAAAAACAAGTTTGGAAAAATGTAAAAAAAAATTGCTTATACATAATTATGCATAATTTCATATATAATTATACATAAGTAATTTTTTGCATTTCTTCAAACTTGATTTTTTCTAAAACAAATAGTGCAAAAATTACCTTTTTAATTATTTTTAATGTTTTCACATTACTATTATTATTTCTATTACACTAAAAAGTAATTTTATAAAACAAAAAAGGATGTATGAACATATTTCATATATAATTATACATGTTTATAAATATTTATGTATGTTTATACATATTTATATTGTATATTCATGTATGAAAAATTTTTTACCGGGTAATAATAGAATAAATCCAATGAATATATGACAATATCATAAATTATTATTAAGACAATAGAGTTATGAAGGAAAATATTTGAGGTGATAATTTGAAAAATAATTAAATCAGATTAATGGATTATGATAATAATTTCTCGCAAAAAAAAAGAGAAATTAGTTACACTTTTTTCATTAAAATAATTGATTTGTAGCAGACACTTACCCCAAATTTGCCGGCTATCTCTTCAACTATTGGTGGAATAATCATGCCGGAAGTGCTACCAACTGTATTCATGATACCGTAAAGAAAACCAGCAAAATTTGGTGCGAGATCCTGATTGTTCGACAGATTAGAGATAAGAGCAGCACCGTTGAAACCCAGTGCAAAGAACAGAAAAATGTTTGCTAGTACAAAATCGCATCCGACATAGCCGACCAATATCAGAAAAACGCCCGGTATAAAATGTGCTGAAAGAACGAAATTCTGATTACTGAAACGTTAACTCGAATTTCCAATATGCTCTACAGACAAAAGAGTTTGGCCATAAGAAATTTTGTGTTTATCAAATTATAGTAACGTATATTAAACAAAAAACAAAGTCTAAAGTGTTAGTTATATTTTATAAAACATCAAAAATAATAATTAATAATTAAATAATAATAAAGCAATGTTCGTTTTACCAATAAATATCTTTTGGTGCAGAATTTTTTTTGATATTTACTAAAATCTTGGGGAAAAATGTTATATGTATATATTTATATATATAATTATATATAAAAATATGTCAATGTTTTATATAATTATACAGGGTGTCTATATTAAGTCCCACCCAGGGAGTAAAGATTTTGTTTTTTTTTATAAATATATATTAATAATATTATTACTACTAATAATAATATTACTATTCAAACTGACGATTATTTGTCATCCGAGATTTTCGAAATGTTAATACACAATTACGGATATTGGCAGAGTTAAAATCAATGTGTAATATGCTTACAGAATATAGTCGCGAGTTTACGCAAAAGAGTGATGCTAATAATCTTCTTTCTCTTGATGGTGTCACCCGCCCAACTAAAAAAGAATCCGAATAGCATCCTGCCACCCCACGGCGCGCCGGCCGCCGCACCGCCTTTCGTCAATTGAAATCCTAGCGCCTTGGTCAAATATAGCATGAGCGAGTTTTGGTAGAAGAATAGCAAGAAGAGATTTCCGAAATGGCATATGACTAGACTGATAAATGGGACCGACAATAATATCTGCCGCATCGGAGTCTGTTTCCATCGGGGTTTCTCGGGGCGCACCGTTCCTGCTTGACCGCTATAAGAATTACATTAATCGTTAAACCGATTTCGTTGCAAAGGAAGAATCATGTGATCACCATTTCTATCAATAAATTAATCTTGGTTTAATTTACTTTTTATCTTTGTCTAGTTTTAAGAATTAGAAAAGAGATAACACAAACTATGGAAATCAAAGCCTAAACGGTCTAGCTGGATTTTAATGTTTGTACGGATTCTTATGTGAATTTATATACTACATGTGTAGTTCCCAGAAATGCGCGCCGAAATGATTTTTCGGTCTTGAAACGCTAACTCTATTAAACTACCGCAGTAATATCACGAGCTAAATTGACTAGCAATTTAGCAAATTTTTGAATGCTTATTCGCATCTTCAAAACGATCTTAATAATGTTGAATGACATATTAAAATCTGTAAATAATTAATTCTTATTGCGAAAAATATTACCTTGCATTTCTGGGAACTATACACGTAGTATATAAATTCACATAAGAATTATACAAGTATTAAGATCCAGTTAGACCGTTTAGACTTTGATTTCTATAGTTTGTGTTATCACATACACAGTCCTATAATGTATTATATTGTTTAGAAAAGAGATAATTAAACTGATATAGCGTTTTCAATCGTAGCACAAGTTTGAACCGATCCGGGTTAACGATATCGGTAGAGCATTAACATCAATTGATAGTAGAGCATGTATCATTAATCCAACTCAGATTAGTTCGAACCCACTACGGTTGAAAATGCTATGAGACTAATGAGTAAATTAAACCGAAATTAAAATCTACCTTTATAGAAATCGATTTCGTTTGACTATTACGTTAAAATGTAATCCTTCTCTTCGGCACTGATGCCCGGGTGTTCAACTGGCGAGTCGTAAGCGACCAATGCCCACACTACTGTCCACACTAGCATCAGCAGGGATGGTATATACCAGCCGGATTCCCAATTCACAGACTCCGCGATGCCGGCTATCATCGGATAAGTTAATATCGTGCCAAACGTTCCACCCAACAAAGACCAGATCATGCGCGCCCGTTCATTCGGATGCGACCACTTTGCCACCATAGTATGACACGCGGGGAAAGTGACACCGCCAGTGACACCGATGATGATCCTGGAGAACAATAGCAGACCCCAGTGACATTGTGCTAGGAACGGGCTAATTAGCGAGATTAACGCGGCCAAAATCGACGTCCAGAGAATCGCGCGGCGCGGTCCATATCTCAGTGATAACCAGCCACCGATGAAGTTGCCAGGCACGACGCCGTAGCTGTAGCTGGCCAAAAGTTGGCCCCGTATTGTTGGGGACCAGTCGAATGGTAGGCCGCTAAAAAATGTGAAGGGTGCATCCGTCGGCCGTGTCACGACCGGCTCTGCTTGGCGACGTTCTAACGAATGTAATAGATTTCTATCCCGTTCTTCCTGCACAAGATCTAGAACGTATTGTTCCATGTAGCTGGCAGGATCAAGTGGATTAATGATAACGTCACGACGTCGTCGCGATTCGTCGAACACGCATGCACCGCCATTCGTGTAATTGACTGGCGGTTCGAAGATCATCGGTACCACCAGAATCGGCATCTGCAAACGACACGCGTAGCTTGTCCAGCAGCAGGTGAACATCATTACGCAGATCCAAACGCGTATTGGGAGCCATCCTGCAAAAAAAGGAATCTATAATGATATTTTTCTTGCACGGCAAAATCGATCGACGTTCGAATATAATTGAAATATTTTATAGAGAATAATTTAAGATTCTTTTCTAATTAGGAATTTTTTTTAATGATTTTAATTCTACATTGATTTTGAACAAGAACAAATGTCGAGAACGTGAATATTTTAATGTAATTATTAAATATCAGTATCTTGAATTAATCATGAATCTTAACGGCTAATTACGCTTTGTAAATATGTAAAATTTTTATTTTTTAATAGAGAATTTATTTTCAAGAGCTTTAACTTATATGAAAAATTAAAATATTTAAAACTAAAAACTTTTGCTTACATTCGAATATTTTTTTCTAACCAGTAATACTATTCATTGGGACGCGTCCAATTTAATTCATGTGGTTCTTATTTAGTATTTAGAATGTAGAATCACGTAGAAAAGAAATTATGTGCCAAATAAATTATTCAAAGTTATACGGTTTATGGTGAATTGTTATTTTCCAGTGAAAATTGGAAAATCAATAAATTCTAAGCTCATATAAGCCATAAATTGACTGAACCCTAACTTTTGTCTTGTATTTTATAAAAAATGAAATTTTTCTCTTAAAATCACAAGAAAGATGAAAAAAGACTAAAATTGGTGGGGTTCACTCAATTTATGGCTGATACGAGAATTTACAGATTTTCCAATTTTCATTGAAAAATAATGATAGCCATCATAGTTTTGAATAATTCACTCAGCACACAATTCTTTTTCTACGTGATTCTACATTTCAAATACTAAAAAAAAAAACACAAGAGTCAAATTGGAGGCGACCCAGTGAATAGCGTAACTAGTGAGAAGACTATCAATTCTAAATAAAAAGGAAAAAGTTAACAAATAAATCGAAAGTAAATATGCTTCTAGAGATACTATTCATATTATTCCAGTTTTGCGGTATACATACAAAAAATTACAATTATGAAATACGACGCTAAAAAAACCATTTACAGATACAAGTAAATGTTATAAAAATAAAAATACTTTTTTTTAATATGTATTGTGATGTCTTTCTTTTTTACTTTAATATACTTCAGATTAGAAGTATATTAAAGTTCTGCTAGAATGTTTACCTTGAAAAAAGAGTAAAGAGGATAACCTACTTTAGTCTAATCACAATCGCCTATATTTATCCTAACGTTTCGTCGTGATTACTTCCGTCGAATGATCCGTACTTACGTAAAAATTTCCAGAAAATTGCTGGAATGCGAATCGGGAACACGTTTTCGCGTAATGCCCGCATTTAGGAATGTTTAGAAAAAGTGAAAAAATATGTAGATCGACAGAATTGCGTTGCATTACCATGCCAACTAGATATGTGTGGACAAATTAGTTTCTCTATCGTAATGTCAAACATTGATCTAAAATAGTTGAAAACACGCCCATAATAGAAAATATATTGTAAAAAGGTTAAATAATTTTTTAAATTTTCTATATTCATTGTTAGTCAATTTAAAAAAATAATTTATATCATTATGTTCAAAAAATACGTAACATGAATTATACATATTTTTTAAATAAAATAAATATGATAATAAATAACTAAAAAGTTTGACGAGGTTTTACGCTGAAATAGCGCTTGTTTGAAAATATCAGTCAGTACCAGTCGCAAAATAAAATACTCACAGTTGGATTTGCCGCAGTATTAGCTAGATACAACAATATTTAAAAAAATGTACTAAAAAAATTAATAAATAATTTAAATAATCAAATCATTGTTAGAAAAAGATTCTCTATAATATGATATTTTCATATTTATTTATATTTTCAAAATTTGTTGTATTTTTTTAAAAAGAATTAAAAAAATAATTTTTTCTTATTTTTATTCAAATATTTTTGTATATATGAATAATTTATAAATTTCTTAAATTTTATGTCGCAAATCTGTCTCTTTTGATTTGCACTTATAATTTTATTGATGTATTCATGCAGTTTATTGAAACTGCTATCATATCATTCATATATTCTCGCGCACGTGAAGAAGAGATTTTAGATTTTTAATTACGCGGTTATCCCAAGCTCTCTCTCTTCTCTTTATTATCGCGAAAATGTGCAAAGTATTTGTTCAACGTATTTTAAGTATTATATTTTATCTGCACATCTGGTTCACATTTGGTTTACGATTTATGAAATTAATACAAAATTTTTCAAGGCACTTACATATTCGTAAATATTATCTACTATTTCAAAAGAAAGAGAATGAAAGCCATTATACAGACTTCGTTTGATTTCGAAAATCGTTAGTATGCATGTCAGTTTTTAACTATTGTCTTTTTAGGCATTGCAACAGCAGCCTTGTTGACACCTCACCGCGTTTACGTGTACAATTATTTCTTTTTCATTTCTTCACGTTTCATTCTTCAGTTTCTTATTTTTGTACATTAGAAAGATTACTATTATTGTTACACCTACGAATATTTTTGTCCTTTGACGAAATTTGACAGTGTGTTTTTTACAAAATAAGTAAATGTTTTAGATATGTTTTAAACATGTTTTTTTATAATACACTGTTTAAAGTACGTTTGAGGCATTAAAAACATATTTGAAAAAAAACACAATATCTTATTCTTTAAAAAAACATTAGTCTTTATCAATCCTGGTTTTTTATATTGTTAACAATTTAATAAAAATTTACGCTTATAAAGAAAATTGCATATGTTCGAAAAGGAATAAATCATAAATTATAAATATAATTATAATTTTTAAAAATGAAATTATAATTTGTAAAATTAATTTAATAAAATTAATTTTATTATTAATCTCAATAATAAGATTATAATTTGTATAAATTATAATTTATATAAATTATGTATTTTTTTGTAATAAAATGAATGGAAACGAATATAAGAAGGAAACTAGAATGTCAATTTCGCGATTTTTATATAAAACTCTATTGTAATATTTTTAAGTTCAATTTATACAACAGCAAAGGTGCATGAGATTTAAATGATTGTTAAAGTATAATTCGATTTTAGTGTTTGTTTCAGTTTTAAGTTTGCAATTGAAATTAACGCTAAATCTTTTAATTCTAAAACTTTGCAATGTGAAATAAATTCTTCAGGAAGATAAACAGAAAAATTAATTTTTAACTCACGTGATAATGATCGACAGAGCCACAGCCGAAAATTTTGAAGCTTCATGTTGCAGTTTTAATTCAGGAATTCAAAGAAACACTTTTACACACGTTTTCAATGATTTTCCGGAATCTCGTACGTTGGTCATCACCGTTTGAATGTTGTTCATCGTCTAGTTTCACAAAACAGTTGTTGAACATGGAGCTTATATTTATATCCCCACGCAGGTAGCAAGAGAGCTCGCAAACTTATAAGAGAGGGAAGGGATTTGAGAGAAGAAGAGGGAGAAAAATAATTTATGATTAAAATTCAATTAATCTGCAAACCTTTTGCAACAAGAATTTCTCTTCGCAAGAAGCTTTTTGAATTGAAGAACTAATAGTAATAATTTGGACATTAAATTCTCTTTTTAGAAATATGGAAATTCTATCAGATGTAACATTCTCAAATTTGCATATATTATGAACAGTTGCTGTAACAACTCTCAAAGCTATTTGAAGTATTAAATGTGGACTTCGACGTTTGCTGAAAAATGCAGTATTAAAAAAATGAAATAATAAAAATACAATTAAACAAAGGCTTTAATATGACACAAGATAGAAATTTGTTATATAATTTCTGTGAAGAGATGTAAAATGAGTTATATATATATTGAGTTATATAGAATTTCGAAAGTATCTGAAATTGTATCTTTATTTAACAATAAATAATGTAGCTATAAAAACGGTTTGAGGACAAAGAACAATTTTAGCACGTTTTAGTGTTATCGACCGATTATGCAACGTAGATCGTGCATGCAACATTAAGCTTTTATCTGCGAGGATAACAGACCGATTTACGTGTATTCTATTGTACATTACGTCTCAATGGGGAAAAAAATGTTTGAAAAAACGTTTTTTAAACATTTTTAAAAACGTTAAAAAAACGTTTTTAAAAACGTTTAAAATAACGAGAAAAGCCATTTTTTTTTTCGTTAAAAAAACGTTTATTCAAACGTTTAAATAACGTTTTTTTTTAATAAAATTGAGCTCTCGAGATATTTAATAAAAATAATAAACAATAAATTAACGGGCGATTGAATGATTTTCATTTTTTCGATTCTGTACTCTTTGCGAAACAGTTCTCTTTTTCGATTGTTCCTCTTTTCGATATGTGTTGATCAAAGTTTACAGCTGTTCTTACTTGGCTTACCAGTTAATTGGCAATGTGACTTCTCAAAATTGTGAATTGAAGAGGCTCTCCCGGCTGCACACTTGGATCGTTGAGATGCGAATATGGACCATAACTATTGTTCTGACATCGCTGATGATGGCTCGAATGAAGCCGAAACGTACGACATTGAGTTATGTAAAATTTCTTGCGATTTAATGTAAGATCTTGCTTTGAATATATTTTGTTATTTTACACATTCAATAACTGTGCCTATTTCTGGCTCTTAATTGCCCGTTAATTTATTGTTTATTATTTTTATTAAACGTTTTTTTAATTGTAAACAAAAAATTAGTGTAAAATTAGCATTTAATAAATATTAATAAATATTTAATAAATTCCTTCGAAACATTAGGTCAAATTAATGTAAAACAAACATTTATTTAACATTAAATGAACGTTTAAAAAACATTTGTTGGTGGAGTTAGATATAAAACTTTGCAGTTTCCATGTTTTTAACATTTTCTGTAATTCATTGATAATAATTTATTGATCTGATTACGACTTAAAATTGTGTAAGTATTAGTGTCTTATAATCAGGGGTGGGCAGTATTTGAAAGACACACACACATGTATTTAAAATACGTATTTAAATATATTTTTGTATTCTGTATTTCGTATTTGAATACTTATTTTGAGAGTATTTTGCATTTTGCACTTAAATATTTTTTTTTTTTAGTATTTTGTATTTTAAATTTGTAAATACTAAATACATTTAAAATATGTAAAAATTTTTTAAATTAAAGGTAAAATCGCACCATTGTTGACTCAATCTAAAGTACGTTCCATTTCACGCATGATGTGCATAATGCATCATTTATCCTTGTTTACAATAGGCGAACAACAACCTCTAGCGTTGTATCTCAGCCAGGAGTGGGCAGTATTTGAAATACAATACGTATTTAAATATATTTTTATTTTATTGAGAGTATTTTGTATTTGAATACTTTTTTGAGAGGATTTTGTATTTTATATTTAAATACAAATCCTCTCAAAAAATACAAAAATATCAAAAGCTGGACATATCGCTTATTTGCTACAACGACATAACTAAAAAATTATCATTTCTAAGTTACTTGCAATAAAAGAACGAAAACATAAAGAAAAAAAGGAAAAATATACATTAAAAATACACACTTTATTCCTCTAGGATTAGTTATTACATCAAAATTGCATTTCAAAATTAATATTACAAAATTTTAATTCAAAACGTTCAAACTAATTTTTTTAGAAAAACTTTGTTTTTTGGATTATATATAGCAAGTATGAGCAGTATATAAATACACGAATAATAAATAATAAACAACAAATTCGAAATCATAATAATTAATGTTTTATACATTTAGTACCTATATATTTTTATACTTTAAATTATTATTCGTATTTCTTACATGAAAAATAATTTAAAATCATAATAATTAATGTTTTATACGTTGATCTAAAATCAGCTATCTTTTAAAGTCTCTCTTTCTTTTCTTATGAAATAATTCCAAAAATCCTTGAATTTGTAAATTGGTTTTTGAACATGCGATAACGTTAGATACGGTCACAAATAATAACTGCGTATCAGCGTCTTGAAACTTGACAGTCATTATCGAAGAAACTGCGGGTACAACAATCACGGCGATATTATATAGTCGCGACTTGCAAACGAACGTGGAGTGAGTTGACATTTACATATCCGACGAACGATAACAGCACATTAATTCCGTGTGTATATTCGTTAAGGATCGAACGAGCGTGTCAGAATGAAGAACGGAAATTTAATTGTAGCAGAGGCCCTGAAGGAGCAGGTACGGGCCAGTATTTTTGTCGACGATGACTCTCGACGTTATTTAGTAATCCATTATGTATCCTCGATTCTCCGGGATTTTTGCGCATTTTTAAGGAAATTCCTGCATAAGATCTCTCGCGAGATCGTCAGTTCTAAGATTTCGAATCTTGATTTAAATACTACTTTATCGTGAAACAAATACACATCGATTTTAGGTTATGATCATTGGTACGTGATCACGTGACTAAATTTTGCATTCTTTTCGTTTTGTTTAACACAAGATTTGTTCGCGTTGTTTAAAATCTGCATTAAAAATTTTGCATTTAAAACGAGATAAATGTACATTTGGTCATTAAAAAGAGAGAAAGTGAAAATTCTGAGTGCAAAAAGTGCAAGCAATGTGAACAGACCTATGATTTCGCTCTTTGAAGGTGCGATCAAAGTCTCATTATGGGCGTCTTCCATTTAATGCTCACTTCAGAAACCGTGCATTCCGATGTATCCGATTTCTGATAGGTTAAAATTATTTAATCTTTATTCCTAATTCCTTATTCCTTCTATTGTGCGCAGGGCCTTTCGTTGACCAACGTTGACCGTATCTTAAACATAAATCGAGCGCTGATTGGTGAAAAACTGGTTTAGAGGATAAAATTTATCTGCATCATCCATTTTTCACCAATCACGCTCGGTATCGCGGCGCCGGTGTTTGCGTGAGAATCCGAGCTAAGATTATCGTATTGGTTTTATCTAACGAGTCATTGACTTGGAATGTTTATTTAATTTTTGATGCGGTCATAATAAAGCTGATCTCACCAACTCCGATTAGCTTAATCGACCTATTAAGTTTCAGAATTGCAAAACTGAAAACATCCTAATTTTCTGCAAATTACGATTTATTTATAATATATATAAAATAATAAATTTTGAATATATATATTAATACTTAAATAATACTTCTAATTAAAATAATTATAATTTTACATATTTTGATATCATGTATAACATGTGGCAATATAACAATATATATTACATCATTCTTCACAGCTGCCAGATTCAGTTTTGAAGTTAGCAAAATCGGTCGACTAATCAGAGTTGATAAGATCGGTCCTTAAAATTGTATGTAATTTTTATCTTTTAATATATCAATAAAATTTAATATATCATAAATTCTAATCTCTCGTTATATATATTTTAAGAATTTGTTACATTAATCGTTGTATTTTAAATTTACAAAGATTTCTGAAAAAATACTTAAAAAAAAATTTTTTTTAGATTTTATAAATTCGCAAATTAAATGAGAAATAATAGAACAAAAAAATCTTAAAATATTTCAGAATGCACATATTACTCATTTCCTACAACGACACAAGTAAAAAAACTAAATTTTTCAGAAAATGAGGTCGAATGTTTTATTAATAAATTATTAATACATATTTTGTACTTTTAATTTTGAAATACAAAATTTTGATGTATAATAATAGCTGATAAAGGAATAAAAATTTGTGCTTTTGAAATATGTTTTTCTTTCTTCTTTTTTATGTTTCCATTCTTTTTTGCAATTAGTAACTAAAAAATCATAATCCGTAATAAATGAATTATAAGTATGAAGAATTGTAAAAAAAAAGATGTAAACTTCTCAATACTTCTGAAAAGTGTTTCAATTTGTATAAAAAATTTGGGGATTTCCTAAAAAATTATAAAATTTTTTAAATTATAAAATACAGAGATTCTGAAAAATTGTAAAATTTACATAAGTATGAATTTTGAAAAAAATATAAGAATTCTAAGAAAAATTTTTACCAGAAAAAGTAACTTTTTAATCTCATTGTCTTGTTTCTGACAAATAAAAGACAGTTGGATATATCCTCGATGAATATATCAATAATTGTAGCAAAAATTAATCGGGTATGTATATAATACACAAGATAGGAACGATAACACTTAGTAACATTTTCAAGTTGCAGTATTATAGAATACGTAATCTCACCAAGTGAACAATAATTTATTTCTTGCACACAAGTAGGAGATTTGATACGCTCGAAAAGTTGAAATAACGATACGATTTGATGTAACAATCGTTGACAGCGGATGTCTGAGTAAGTCGAGGAAAACACTAATTTTACAGAGCACTTATAGCAACCAGCATTCGTACCCGTGACATAATATAAGCGACCGTGTGACATACCCGAGCGTGCACTTATCACAAATCAAATTCATTTCGGCACGAATAAGAATCGACTCTTATCACAATCGTATAATCAACACTTACGCTTTTTTGGCGGTGCAATTAACGGCGTATGCTCGTGCTCTTGATACATGCTGAAAATCGCTTTTATTTAATGCATACAGATCGTCGAAGCTGCTGAGCTACTGATGCTTTTTCAGATGAAATGAGGTGTCTGTGCTTTATTTTTATTTCGTGCGAGTTCATCGGGGCCGAGCATTATCAACACTCTGATAAAACATAGATACTATTTATTTTATATACACTGCGCGCTACATCACATTAGACCGCTATTTCATTTATGCCTTTTTGTGACAAATTGTTTAAGCCTGTTGATTGGCTATAAGATAGAAAGATTTAAAGCCCTTTCTGTCCTGCACACATTTGTCGTATGACAAAAATACACAAATGAAATAAGCACACCCACAGAAAAGATTTCTATATTCAACGCTATTATTACTCCTCGATCTAGGATAAAATAAGATCGATATGTATTTATTCTTCAGAAAAGAATATTTTCTTCTTAAATAAAAAAATCTAGAATAAAGAATTCTTGATGCTATTCCATTTTGATTTTCTTAACAGAAAAATTTATGTTACATTTTTCGGCAACGAAAAACTGGGCTTGGTCTCAAACTCAGAATCTCTTGTCGTTTCGCGTGTCTCTTACTTCGTGCGCTAGACCACGAGAACCACGGTGCCACGATGCTATAGCATCACGTATATGTACAACACTGAATGGACTTATTCTAAACGTAAGATATATAAACCTAACCTAACCTAAATTTGTACGTGTTAGGAGCTCCGCACAATAAAAGCAACAGGGAACAGAGAATAAGAATTTCAATCTATCAGAAACTGTAGTATATTCCATAATACATGATTTCTGATAGGTTTGAAATTCTTATTCTCTGTTCCTTTTATTGTACGGAGCCCCTTATACTCGTCTCAAGACGTCGATCTTATTTGATTCAAGGGGTAGAATAAAAATTATTGATTTAATCTTAATACAATTATAATTTTATACTGTATACATATAATTGAGCTAAAATTGAGTATGTCAAGAATATTTTTTTTCTCGATATTAGAAATCCTTTCTGAGAGTGTACCCTTAGACCGATCTCTTGTTTAATATGCTTTTAGAGAAAATAAATATGTATATCTGGAAACACTGATAGTGTCTCGGCGCTAAGCTGCGCGAAGCGACACTGCCGTGCCTCCTTTACGCGAACCGACGAGTTGCGGCAGATCGAGATTATCGGATCTCAATAACGGCTGAACCGATCGCGTTCTATGTATGCTCAATCGATAGCCACCACACGGATTGTATGATGAAAGTGCTTTTATTTTTCTTCTACGTGCCCTACGAGCGGAGATATCGCGACGCAAAGTTCCGAACTGCTACTTTTTCAGTCCATTTTTCAGATACGTCGTCCTTATTGTTATCATTATTGTCGTCGTCGACCACATTCCGCGCATTCCTTTGGTGTCCGTCTGACATTCTTTACGCAATCTGGAGAGACGATAGTATCTCGGCGGTGACATAGCGTACGTTATAGATACGAGAGAAAGGAGAGAAGAGATTATAATAGAGAAAATGCACACCACAATTAAATAAAAGTGAATGAAAATTTCTTAACTTAAATTTGCTTTCAAAGCACGTTCAATTACGTTTTTATCGATTCTGTCAATAAATTAATAAATAAACTAAATTGAGCTCTCTAGATAATAAAATAATCATCAATCAGAAATTTCCGGGCGATTGAGAGCAATAATAGCGCAGAAGTTGGTGCGTTTGATTTTCACAATAGTATATTTCAATTTTTACAAATTGCATATCGATCGAATATAAGAATTGAAAAAATCTTATGAAGATTTTTAAGAAAATACCTTAAACTTCTTCAGATTTTAGTGAGAACTTTTTTCATCAGAGAGGAAACATGGAAAAAAAGAAATCTATGTATGTTGTAATGTTTAATTATATATGGACATTCATTCAGTTATACTCAACTTATTTCGAGATATTTTCTTACACTGTAACTATATGTATATATATTATACATTGTGAACAGGGCTTGACTTATGTTTTCGGCATTATGGGACACCCTGTGATTGATTTGGCTTTAACTATGCAATCCATCGGTATGCAGTATGTAGGTTTTAGAAATGAGCAGGCTGCTTGCTATGCCGCGCAAGCTTACGGATATTTAATGAGTAAGTAGAAATTTTTTACAAAGATCATATATATTTTCAATGTTAATATATTTATTTGTAAATATGCATATATTAACATCAATAAAAGATAAAAATATCTTCTAAAAACATTTCTTTTGCAAAACGCTTTACACTCGTAACAGTTGTATAAACTCTATCACCTGATTAAATAAGCGTAATCATTGTTGTCATAAGTAAAGTAAGTGAGATGATAGAAAATAAACACGAATAAAAAAATTATAATATGAAATTAAGCCGATCAGAGAATAAATCTAATTAAGTAAAAGAAATCTTATATTCTGCAAACTGCGCAACGAAATCTTTTTCAGTTTTGAAATGCAATCATAAATAGAAGTATAAGAGTAACAGTATCACATGTTAAATGGACAAGCAATTTAATAATATTGATGCTAATAAGTATTTCATAAGAATATTAATAATTTGATGTTAATAAGAATCTTAAAAACTATGAATAATTTATTGCGAAAAATATTACCTCAACCGGAATTTAAATTTCGTGGCCGTTCTCCCAATTCGACTCTCTTACTTAATGAAAAAAATGAGCTTATATAAAATATAGAATTTTCATCCAGGAAAACCTGCGGTGGTATTATGTGTCTCTGGTCCAGGGTTGTTGCATGTTATTGGTGGTATGGCAAATGCGCAAGTAAATTGTTGGTAAGTATTGACCCGCGATTCCTATACTATTATCTTAATAATTTACCGATGTCATATTAAATGAAGTATATTATTAGTAATAATCGTAAGAGTAAAATATTACGAATCACGAAGTATGAAATATCAAAGCACTCGTATATGTATAATACACGAGAATACGTAATGAATATTAGAATCTTGGAACGGAAATGGATTAATTAATTATTTTTCGTATCTTACGGAACGATCGACACATGTGGCGATTTTCGACGTAATTTTGTTTATTGCGTGGAAATCGTCGTAAAAATTGTTCACCTAACTGCTGTCTGACTTATAATAGTTGTGATTACAATCTCGTTGCATAGAAATCATGGCGATGCATCAAAGCATTATGTCATTCTGGTTTGTGGATTTTTCCTTATGAAAACATCGGATATGCATTTTTTGCTACCTATAAAAATTATATGGAATCGTTGATTTGATGCTTTGTAAAATTTATAACTTAGATTTTTTAGCGTGTCACACAGAGAAAAATAGTTGAGTAATTTTTACTTTAGCAAATTAGTAAAAGTATTCTGATTATTTTTACAGAAATTATGACAAACTTTATTTGATTGAAAGTAAAAATATCGGAGATGTAAAGTAAAAAAATACATTTTTACAATTACAATAAATCCATTCAAGTAATTATTACTTTATAATAAAATAAATTATACTATTTTCAAGACTGTAAACACGAACAACTCTCAAAATTTACTTTACAAAATATAAAAAGTATATTAAGTATGGCTATCTGACGATCGCTCACTTACCAAAAAAGTAAAGTAAATTTTATATTAAGTAGGCGCTTGTTCTTATATGGCGTGCCATAAAATTTGTTAGAATTCTATTACCTATTACTTTACATTTTTCTCCATGTAGGATATAATTATAACGAATATTCAAAATCATTCTGATTCAGCACCTATATATTTCGGCAGGCCTGTGCTCGTACTAGGAGGATCTTGTCCGGAAGATCACGAGGGTATTGGCGGGTTTCAGGAATGGCCACAGGTCGAGGCAAGTAGATCATACTGTAAATACGCGGCAAGGCCACCATCAGTTGCGCTTATTCCGTTGCATGTTGAAAAGGCTGTACGACTCGCCACTTATGGTAGACCAGGTAAGGAGTGCCAGACTTCTTCTGCAATTTTCGAATTAACTTAGGGCAGTATTAGCACTTAATAGATTCTAGATATCAGCTGAAAAAGACGGTGACAGCTTCATGATAGTTTGCAAAAAATTTAACGTTACGTATATTTAAAAAATTTAGATTAATAATTTATAATATTTTTTTCATCATCTTAAGACTTTAAGAAGTTCATTCGTGCAAATTATTATAAAATAAAATTTTTATATCCTTCAGCATTGCAAAGCTAAGAAGGGAACTTGTTTCTTTTCGTTATCTTCACACATTTATCCATCCATACTGTCTATTTTTAAATCTAAATTCTAACGTACCAGTCTCAAATGTATAATATTACTTGTTATTCCTATCTTATCTCTTTCAATTTATCTTTACTTATCTTTTTCCTGCCTCTTTTTATCTCAGATTTTTCTTTCTCTACAATCTTAACTCTTTTCCCTCTATTTCTATCAACTTCTAATTTTTATTTATATCCATATCTCGCAGCTAAATTCCAATTTGTTATCTTCGCGTAATCTTCAATTTTCATCCATTCTTCTTCCTCACTACTACTCCTTAATCCTCTGATTTCTTTCTATACTTATCGCACCATCCAAACATGACTCCGATTCTCCTAATATCTCCATATCATGGCTTCTTTACATTCTTCTATTGTTTTCTTATTAGATTTTCCTTTAACTTCTTATTTATATTTCCAAACTCTCTTCCTCCTACTACATATATCTTCTTATGTTCTTGTTTCTTTTTCTATTCCCTTTATGATAATATCATAAACCTTTCCTACCTTTTCTTCTCCTTTTTCTGATTTTCTCTTTCTTTATATATTCTACAAATTCTGTATACCTGCTTTTTGTTATCTTTTCACCCTGTGCTCCTTTTTTCTATTCCCCCCCCCCCCCGCCCTCTCTCTCGTAATGGCATCTGACAGTGCCGCTGTAGTTGAGACTCAGTGAAATCTTTTCTGATCTGAAATCTTTTAGGTCGAAAAAGAAGGTCAGATATTGGTCGCATTTCGCTGTTTTAATCTCTTCAAATCGGTCGCTCCCTAAAGAAGCCATGTCCTGAAAGACTTTGTCTAATACATTTTTATTTAACGGTTCCATTTTTTATTCCACGATCGAGTAATGTGGTAGCGTGATATCACTTGGGTAGAGCCGCGAATGCTCAGGGCTTGGCTACATACTCCCGCAGCTCTCGCAGGATGCCCGGTATCCGAAAGGGATCGTTTGCGACGCAACTCCTTCTGCCCTATACAACTGTCGGCATAAATGGTAGCTTACACCTCGGCTTGGAGAGCGACGAGGGGTTTCTCTTTGTTGGCTACACTCAATTACACCCCTGAGCGGGTTATTTCTGAGTGTAATCCTCTTTACCACGTTAAAGTGGAAATATCTATTCAGGAGAATTCTGATAAAAAATTAGACATTTTTTAATCTTACATCTTTGCATCGTACTATACATTGTCTGCAGGTGCTGCTTATCTCGATTTACCCGCTACATTATTGACCCAAAATGTGGACGAAAGTAAGATTGCTAAGGTTTTATGCTGCCCATCGCCATCGCTATTGTATCCTGATGCAAAATTAATCGAGCGGGCAGCAAATTTATTGATAAAAGCGAAAAAACCTTTGGTGATAGTCGGCAAGGGTAAACGCATGGATTTACAGAAAATTTTTATTATACCAATCATTTTTTCTCTTCCTTTTTCCATTATGCTTTTTACACGCAGGAGCCGCTTACGGTCGAGCTGAAGATCCGGTGAGAGAGCTTATCTATTCGACAGATTTACCCTTTTTACCAACCCCGATGGGAAAGGGCGTTGTACCGGATGAAGATGAACGTTGCGTCTCCAGCGCGCGAACGTATGCCTTGCTACATTCCGATGTCATTTTGTTGCTAGGTGCGCGATTAAATTGGATGTTGCATTTTGGACGGCCACCTAGATTTCAAAATAATGTCAAAGTCATACAGGTAAATCGATGATTCTTTATATGATTTCTTAAGAATGCGACGAAGCGATGTATCAAAATTTTTTAAAGATTGTTTATATTTCTGAATTTATAATTATTTGTCACAATATATTTTCTTTAATCCTGCCACTCGTGAAGTTGTATGAACGTTATATAAATATGCTAACGTTTACAGTGTATTTCTATAAATCGTATTTTCATTAACAACATGTGCAATACTCAATGCGACTTTCAAACTTAATTTTCTCAGAAACGAAGAAGCCTCAGAAAAAGTTTATTCTGCAGTTTCTATTTTTTTGTATAAGAAATTATCCTTCGTCTCGAAATTATCCTATTGTATCATGGACCCCTACTCTGTAATAAATGTATATTTTTTACAAAATCGAATGAGTGTTAAAAATCCTTTTTAATATTAATTCAAGAATAAAATCTTTTACTAGGGTAAAATTCTATACTATTATATAATATGAAGAGAGATATCGGAAAAGATAATTTCGGATTAATGTACAACTGCTGCTATTATTCCGTAGATCGATTTGTGTGCTGAAGAATTGCACAATTCCGTAGTATCTGCCGTCGCTATTCAATCAGACATTGCACCTGCAACAGAATATCTGTCAAATACATTGAGAAGTCGAAAATGGCGTATTGAGCAAAATCATCCGTGGTGGAAGGAGCTCATATCGAAAGCCAAACAGAATAAGCAATCAGTTCACGTGAGCCCTGTCTTAGTTATTATTTGAATAAAGATTCTTTCTTTGTATGATCAATTTGCACACTTTCTTTTATTAACTTTCGTTTATAGCGGATGTCGATGGACACTAGTGTGCCCCTGAATTATTACACCGTATTTAAGCATATTCAAGATGTTATACCAAAAGGTGAACATATCTTCTTGAATATATCATTTAGATACATACGTTTATTAAAATTGTAGAAGTATCTGTTTTTTATCGTAGAAAAGATATCGTAAGCATGTATTTTAATTTATATTAGCAATTTTTTTTAACAATTAAAAAAAAGAATCAATAATAAAAATTTCTTTCTTATGTATTGATTTGCAGTATAAGTTAAAAATATTACATATGCTTAATATTATATTATATAAATGATTGTATAATATTATATCTACAATAATATTAGATCTGTAAAGTATAAATTGTATAATTCTATAATTATAATATTTTTTCATATATACAGATTGCATTATTTGTTCCGAGGGAGCTAATACAATGGACATCGGACGAACCATTCTCTTGAACAATTTGCCTCGCCATAGACTAGACGCCGGTACGTTTGGCACTATGGGTGTAGGGCTTGGATTTGCAATCGCAGCTGCTCTTTATTGCAAAGATAATGCGCCGAAAAAAAGAGTAATTTGTGTTGAAGGAGACAGCGCCTTCGGATTCTCCGGCATGGAGATCGAAACCATGTTTCGGTAATGTAATAAGCTATTGCTTGGTAAAAAACGACTGTTCGAACCTAATTCTTTAATGCAATTTTATTAATTCATACGATCATTCGACATGTAAATAAGTTAAAAAACAAAAATGCTATTAAGCATCGCGGTGCGTTTCGGAGATGTTAATAAAGTGTCATTTTTCAAATTATTTTTAATACATCTCGAAAACGCAGAATACGAAAAAATTTCAAGAGAACTTTTTGGTAGGAAATTAATATAAAAATTTTTTTTTCAATATCAAACTCAAAATAAAAGAAAACAGAAGAAAAAAATAACAAAAATTTGCTAAAATTTTCAATTTTTACTTTTTTGTACAATAACTGTTTTTCTATCAGTCCAAACGCTTTTGTCGTTAGAGAAAAAAAGTAGACATTGTAACGAAAAAAATGAGAGGTCAAACAAGAGCTTTTTGATGACAATGGTGACCGAGATATCGTTAACGCAAGTTGGACGTTTCTAATCGGTTTTCCAATATCTTGGATTTATTCTCTAATTTTATGTTATTGAGACTTTCTTTTATTGCAATTATTAATCAAAACCAATGTATTTCATACTAAAAAAAAATATATTTTACTTAATTACATTTTGCTTAATAGTATTTATCTTAATTATACGCTATATCATGAAACAGAAATTCATTTTTAATGTGTGAGTAATAAAAATAAAAAAAATTAATGACGAATTATAATGCAGTTTGTAACTGCAGTTGTGCTCACAAATATGAAATGAAATTTGTGAGACCGTCTGTAAAATATTAAGGAGAGTCAATTGCGATAACGTCAAAACATTGGAAGCTGAGGAAGACGATTTAAGCTGATGCGGACAATAAAATTGACGTCGATATTGAGAATTGTACGATTATATTATAATAATTGACTTTTATTGAAAATGACATTAAAATTGGTTTCTATAACATTCTATAGCGCATAATTAATTGATTGTTTATTATTTACATGTCGAATGATCGTATGAATCAATAAAATTGCATTAAGGAATTAATTCCTTTTAAAATCCTCCAGGCAATAGACTATCTTGGTAGAATTATTAAGATAAAAAAAGTCTCATTTCACGGGCGAAGAATATAATCACATCTATCCTTTCTTTTCAGTTATAAACTACCGGTGATTATTATAATCGTGAATAATAATGGCATATACAGCGGTTTTGATAACGAAACTTTCAAACAAATACAAGCGTCCGGAGATCCTACGCAAGTGTACGCATTTCTCTACATAATCTTAATATAAAAAAATTATGTTTTAAATGTTTAGATAGTTTAACTTAAGGTTCACTGTGATCGATTGTTTGCAAATCCAGATACTTTTACATTAATTATTAAAATTACATTTTTAGGACACCTCCGTATTCATTAACATCTGAAACTCATTATGAGAAATTAATGGAAATGTTTGGCAAGAAAGGACATTTTTGCACTACTGTGGAGGACATTCAGCAGGCATTGAAATTATCTCTCAAGGTAAGATTGTTATTAATAAGATCATCATTCCTTTAAAAATTGAAAAGAAATGTTTAAATGCTAAAATATCGTTTCAGGTGATGGACAGTCCCAGTTTAATAAACATCATGATTAACCCGCAAGCAGATCGAAAGAAGCAACAATTCAACTGGCTAACAGAATCAAAATTATAGATGTGCCACAATCAAAACGTTTTATGAAAATATTTATGATTTTCTCCAATATTTCTTTTCTCAGAAAATCATTTTTTACAGATCCTTAATTAACTCTGTTATTCATATGGTTTTTTTAAATGTAATTACTCGCGTAGAGTGTTTCTGACATGTCTTAATTTTCATTGTTCTCTTTGATAATGTAAATTTTAAAAAATTGATAATATTTTATTACATCCTTTAGATAAAGATAAATACAAATTTTTTTATTGTAAAACAATTTGCGCTAAATATAATAATGTGTATAAGTTATAGCGTCCATATACATTTAGCGAATTTACAAGGGTGGGATATTCTGAACAGTCCACGCAAGTAATGATGGGTTAGCATAATTATAGATATTAGAAGCGTCTTTTGAGACTGTAATGTGAATACACAACCGAAGAATGACATTTTTATACGGTCTGAGCTGAATCTAAGTGCTTAAATAAATCGATGTTAATTATACACACACACGCGCGCGCGTGCGCATCCATATCTATCCACCCACCTCAGGCGTGTTTCGAATCTGGATTTCCCGAATTCTGTGGGTTTCAAAAGACATTATGTTTAATATTATTTATACACGCTGCTTTTTAATGCATAATCTCTTTATACATATTGGTTAAAGTAATATTTTTGGCAATAAAATTATGTACAGATTATTTTTAAGATTTAATTATTTTTGAGATGCTTATCAGCATGAGATTATTAATATCCTTCTAAGATGCCTATCAGCAAAATATTACTAAAATAGCTTGTCAATTTAATTTGTGATATTATTAATTTAGTTCTGTTTATGATAGCATTTCAAGACCGAAAAAGATTTTAGCACACGATTTGCAGAATTTGGATATGTATATATGTATATAAAAATTCACTCTGAAATATTTAAGTACTAAGATCCGTTTTCACCAAAAATAAGTTTATTTCTTTTAATTTTCGACGGTTTAATACAAATTGTAATCATTTAAGTACCTAAAACCCAGTTTAGACCATATAAGTTTTTAAAAAAATAAGTAAAAATCAATGTTTTTTGAAGAGTCCAATTTAGATGAAACAGTTTTTTTCTAGGTAAAAATGTAAACATCGAGAATAAATTTGACATCGAGAATAAATTTATCTTACGTTTAGTTATTTTATTTGGTCTCTTATTATTGATGAGTTACAAGGATGACTCAATAAAAATACAAGTCATAGAAAAAAAACTTATTTTTAGATATGATATTGTCTCACTGGGTCAACAGATTCTCTTCGTGTCCTGAGAGACACAATATTATATCTATTTTAATATTAATTTAAATATTATAATAACTTTTTAGCTATTAATAGTTTATAAAAATATAGTAAATATATGTGAATTATCAAGATATAAAACAGTATAAATGTACAATGTACAATGAATAAAATGTACTTAAAAATTATATGTTTCAGGAATTTATTTACTTATTTGATCCAACTTCTCCGTAACACTCGTGGGTGAATCCAGTGAATTTGATTCTAACCTGTTATTATGCTTGCTCTCATGGATAATGTTTACCACGTTCACTCCCATTTTTTGAACTTTCTCGGACAATGTTTGATTCGCAGCATTAACTATTGTACGCAGGTGTCCGTTTTCCTTCGTAAGTTCCTTGATCACCTCCAGCTCTTTCTTTCTGAAAGTTAAAAAATCAATTCAACTGTCATCGTAACTGATCATTATCATTTTCACAAAAAGTAACTATAAAAATTTTACATTTTCAGACTAACGCCATAGATGGAAATTAATGTCTTCTGGATTTGTGTCTCGACAGATGGACTTGTATTATCAGATTCCATATTGTGATCAGATCTCATTGCTGTATTTACAGAACTTATTCATGTATTCACATCTGGGTTATTGTGAAAAACGGACTTACTCACCGATTTTGATGAAATTAGTCTCATTTGACGCGTTTTTACACGAAATGGTAATTATACAGAATAGCTGCCTCAGCTCAAAAATCGATGAAATTAGGTTTATTCGATGTATTTTTGCATGAAACGAAAGAATCTGGCAGAAATAAGCGTCGCTCTGTCCTGTAATTCGAGATATTAAGCGTTAAAGTTGATAATTGAGGTTAGGAAATCTGTAAGAAGTAAGGCGCTATATTCGCATCCGCCATTTTTAGTTCTTTTCTCACTCTCTTGCTCCTTTCCTCAATCCTTTGCTGTCTCTCTCCACTCCGCCGCTAAACTAATAGCGTATTTCACTGGCACAACCGGTGCGCACTCAGTGCACATTAGAACTGTTGTACATCAACATCTGAGGGTGGAGTCCCATGAAGCGTATTTGCCGCGTATTGCGTAACCGCGTAACCAATCAATAATCAGTAAAACACGAAATCACAACAGCGGATCGCTTCTGATTGGTTACGCGGTTACGCGATACGCGGTAAATACACCTCATGGGACTCCAGCCTGACTGTAAAAGTGAGAGATCTCAGTTAATAAAATATCCAATGTATATTTTATCAAATATCACAATAAAATGTATTAAGGATTTCGTGGTTTAATTTATTTCTATATTTTTATTAAACGTATAAATTTTTATGTCGATTCGTGTACAAATTACAACAGCTTTAAAGTGCACTGAGTGCGACAGCCTGCTCTGCCAGTGAAATACGTTATAAAACTGCGTTTGGGAATACACACCAACTGGCGCCAAGTATATCATTGGCTACGTTCAGTAGAGAAAGCAGCTTTGCAACTGTTGTAAAATTATGATTGGTCTTGCCTTTAGTTCCTCACTAGATCTAAATGTATAAACCAATCATATTTAAGAATTTTGCAAAGCTGCTTTCTCTACTGAACGCAGCCATTCATGCGTCGATACGTCCATGAGTGAAGTGAATCCGCTCCTGGCTCCACTCTCCCCTTAATTATCTTTGATATCATGGATATACATATTTTATTATTTTTCTTTACAAGGATCTAGTGAAAGATAAGAGTACGTGGTTTTGAAGAAGAATGGTAATCGAAGAAAAACTGGATTTTTCGAAGGAAAACCAAACGCAAAATGGAGTTACGATAAAAGAACCGAGAACGTATTCCCTGGAGAGTATCCTTTCGTGAAAATTGTTCTTGATTCTACGATAGAACTATCAGTGCCATATGGTTCTTCGTAACCTCTTGCTGTTGCGAGTTATTACTGGGATATTGATCTATCAACATTAAAATCGTTGATAATATCCTGCTAGAATTGTCAAAGATGCCAATTTGATAATTTCTTATCTTTGCTTTCGATTAATGAATTGTTTTGATATTTTGTTTATGAGTGTTTTCCAACAAGGAAAACAGTCAATATTGAATCTTTTCCAGCAAGGAACACAGATTATATTATTACGTTCTTGTTGTTTGCAAGTATTAAAGATGAGATAATTCACTGTGTTATACTGCGATACTTGTCTATTGCTGGAAAATGCCTATATCTTTGTTGTTTGCCAATGTTAAGCAAATATGAAATTATGTTTTACACAGGTTACACTGTGCCTCTTGCTGAAAAACACCAATAGGTTACATTCTATTTGATGCTTGTAACATTCTTGGAATTACTTCTTCCTTAGGTCTGTTTTCTGTAGCTGAATTAGTGTACATTTTTAGAACTTAAAGTAAGATAGATATACATTTGATATTTGTCAAAAGCAAGAAAGAGAGTTCTAGAGCAGCCTAGTGCAGGAACAGAAAACAGATCACTTATCATTTATCAAGTGTCAAACAAGAACAAATAATTCTCACAAGTGTTGTGCGCCAAGTAGAATTTGTCCATAGTGAATCATTACATCCTTGTTTGCCAATGGATATTTTTTCATTTAGTAACATAAGTCGATACAAATATTTTATCTTTTTTGCTGGATCATAAGTAACAAAGGTAGAACCATATTTCTATCGACTTGTCACCAAATGGAGTACCTAATTAAACAATGGTGAAATGATTTATGATGTTATACTATGTCTCTTTCTTGGAAAATGTCCTTTATCATTAGAATTTATATTACGTTTACATGTATTTTCAATATTCTGTAGTATATATTTAATACAAAAGAGAAAAAAATTGAAATAATTAACAGAATTATAGCATTAAAATTATTTATATATTTTCAATATCTTGTATTATCTATCTAATATAAAAAAGAAAAATAGAAATGATTAGCAAAGCTAAAATAATACTATCGATGGTTCTAGTGTTAAATGTTTGCTAAATTGATCAAATTGATGATACAATTAATTGACACAGCAAAAACTTTCTTAATTTGACTTAAAAATTGATTTTGATTCATATATTTAATTTATACAATTTCAATTTTTGTTATCCTTATCAATTCCTGACAAACACTGTAGTTCTAAAGATAATCAAGGAAGCACAGCAACAACATGGGTTGAGACATGGCGATTACCAGCGGTATCGCGGTTATTGCTCGAGAAGGCTGAGAAGATTGCGGAAAGTGTTGAAAGTGCCACAGGGCGACAGACGTCATTTCAAGAGGAAAGATGTCACTGTGGCTATGGTCAGCGAGGATAAATTTTTACAAGTACCCTTGATGATGGCCGAGCGCGCGTGGAGTTACGCGATGCAGCTACGTCAGGAATCCAATACAGAGCCAAGGAAGAAGTTTCATCTGATATCAAGACTCAAGAAAGCAGCTGCTTACTCTTTACAATTGCAAGATTTAATAGAGGTACATTTTTTTAGCATATAAGTATTTTAATATATTTTAAAATATTGCGTTTTTAAGTTAATTATAACAAGAATTTTATTAATTTGTAATATAAATTAAAAAATAGATTGATAAAAGATTGATATAAAAAATTGTTGTAAAATTCTGTTGGTCAAAAATTTTTGGCTGTATATCTTAATTTCTTAACCTTTTTTTATTAATTATTTCTAAGAAATTGCCAAGACTATATTTTATGGTTTTACTATGTTTTCTCTGTTCAGAATATAAATTGTGACGCGCGTACGAAACTGGAGGCTCAGGCATATGTAGCCTGGATGAATGGTTCTCTGCAGTTTGAATTGCAATTGTGGAAACAGGCTATGGAAAACTTGAAGAAGGCCCAAGTGGTATATGGTAATCTGGCATCTGCGTTGCCAGAATTAGAACAGGTCATATATAAGGCACGAGTTGAGGAATTAGCACCTAGTCTTAGATACTGCGCTTATAACATTGGAGACACTAGTGCTATGGATGATCTTATGCAGATGCGCGGGCAATTGAGCGGCGAATTGATGGCCAGCCTAGACTCTCTGATAGCTCAGACACGGGAAAAGCAAGCTAATATTGAGGAAGTGACATGGCGTGGAAAATCCTGTGGTACAGTACCGCCACGAGCAGCTGGTCTGATCATTGCAGACTCTAGGCTGAATCAAGCTCTGGAAAGGGCTGCCACCAATCAGGCAAAGATCGATCTGCTGGAGGCGCATTTGATAGATTGTAAAGATGCTCTATTGGCAGTGCGTGATCATTTTAAAAACGAGTTGAAGAACAAGGAGAATGACAAGTGGTCACCACAGCAACATCTGATCAATTATCTGCAGTATATCCGACTGTCTCGCACGTTGGAACGTAATCTGACGCTGGTGAAGGCGGCAGAGGAGAAAGCCAAGCCGCAGGACATAGTACGTCTGTACGAAGCAGCGTTGCACAATCTTGTGGAGATATCTCAGTTGCAAGATGATGCAGAATTCTTGGAGGAACAGGAAGCAAAAACAAAATGTTACAGAGCCTTTAGATGTTTCTATATGGCTCAGAGCCTCGCCAACTTGCATCGTTGGCGTGAGGCTATGGCCTTGTATCAAAGATCGCTGCAGCATGTTAAAGACGCATTTAAATACGACAAGATTCTTCCAGTTGAACTCAAGGAAGCTTTGTATAAATTGGAGACCTCTGTGGAGGCTGCGCAGTATGCCGCTCATGCTCACAGCGTTTTGGAGGATGGTCAGGAAGAAGAAAGTGGAACTAGTAAGCTTGCTAAAAGTAAGAAACCGTTGTATGAACGTTTGCACGAATATAGAGAAGATCAGGCGCTTCTCACGAAGCAACCAAACGTCTATAAACTGCCACCACCGATGCGCAGTATTCCCTGCAAACCTTTGTTCTTCGATCTGGCCTTCAACATGGTTGAATTCCCTGATCTGTCGCATAAAATGGGCGATCAGGCTAAAAGAGGGCAAGCTGGTCTCACTGGCTTTGTTAAGGGTCTTTGGGGTTGGGGAAACAAATGAATATTATATATATATATATATATAATAGAATAGCAGAAATTTTATATGCAAAAGAATTTGCGTTGTACAAGATACATTGTACAGACAGTATTGGTTAGTTATTGTTTCTGCTGTGTCTCTATAGTACCATAGTAGTTCAAAAAGCATTTCTAAAACTCGTAGATTATGCATTGGAAATTGAGAGATTGCGAATTGAAGATTAGAACTTGACCAATCGGATAATTTTAATCCGTTTCATTCTACTTGGTGGAACTATCTCCAATTCAGTCCTCAACTTTCAATGTATAATCTGATACGGATTTAAAGCAAATTGAACTTGCATTGAATTAATATAAAGGGAAGAAATAAAATGGAATACTTAATGTATGCCTGTTATAAATTAAGATTCATTTCTTGTTTTTTAATTCTCCTTTCCTTTCTTACAATATATGCAAATATATATGATAAAATAGCATTCTTTATTTCTTTTACAACTCCATACACTAGTATAAAAACAGTTATCTCACAAAGATACTTGTATGTACAATTTTATCTAGGATAGAGATGACGGTAAAGCATCACGAGCAAGTACCACATGTAATGCTAGAAATTATGTATAGTACTAATATTGTTTTCAAGCTTCCTTACTCTTGGTGAGTTCTTCGACTAATTTTCTAAACACCTGTGCGACTTGACTGTCGGGTAATGTCACCAAAACACTTTGTCCCTTGTCTGCTAACTTGCCGACTTGTGGATCTATTGGTACTTTAGCTAGAAATGGAACCTTCACCATCTCGGAGAGGGCTATCCCACCGCCTGAGGAGAATATATTGGTGCATTCCTGTGTAAAAAGTAAGATTTATTAAAATTATATTGAATAATTACATTAATTACATAAAGGGCTATAAGCCCGGGATGTTCATTGCTCAATAATTGTTAAATTTTATAAAAAAATATACAAACGTTTTTATCTCTATTGGATTATTATCAATGTGACAATTCAAAATAATCGATACATAAAATACGGAATACCATATCATAATAGTGTGAATGAATTTTGTAAGACCATGTCTTTTTCTTTTTAATTGTTTAACTGACATCTCGACTATTTTAAATTGTTAACCGATTATATGGTCAAGTTAAATTGTCACATTGATAATGATCCGATAAGAGTCGAAACGTTTGTGTATTTTTTGTTTATAAAATTATTATAATTATTAAGCAATAAACATTTTACTTGACTCATAGCCTTTTGTATCATTAGGAGTGTGATTTAGTTTTGAGGGTTTTTTTTCCCTCAAAAACTAATTTATTTAAACAACATATCACGTAAACATTTAATAACTGTTGTACGATCAACATTTAATTCTCTGGTAAGTTCTGACATGGATTGTGCTGGATTTTCATCCAATAATGCTTGCAAATTGCATTTTTCAGCTTTTGTTAACATTGAAATCACTACTTTTAAATCGATAGATACTAATATTTACATGTCCTAATTAATGAAGCAACATCACCCTAAGTTTCTATCAGTTCTACGACCTTTAGCCGCCGTTTTCTTCTGATTAAAAAACAAACGCAACGCATGTCGAAAATTCTCTTCAGGAAGCTTTATTTCTAAAATGGTATAAACACGATGTTTATCGCGTCTATTGTTAGTAAATGACTAAATATCATGGAGTAATATTAAAGCAAAAAATAATAGCTGTGATTGGAATGTCTTCGACAACACTGACATTAATACTATCTCTTGTAAAACCTCAAAACCCCTCAAAACTAAATCACACTCCTAATATATATTTTTTAAATTATTTGTTATATTATTATTAAATTGTTTACATTAATTACAATCAATAAATGAAAGAGTACTTACTGTACATGAAGGACAGACAAAGCCACTCATATTTTCAATTATGCCGATTATATGAATACCAGTTTTTCTACAAAATGTCACCTCTCGCAGAACATCATCTATTGCAACTGCTTGTGGAGTGGTCACTATTATTGCACCATCGCATTTTACATTTCTGTAATAATTTCAGTTTACAAATGTCTTATAACGTAATTAAAAAGAAGGTTTTTTATTCTTGCATTCTCTGAATTAAATAAACTTATATATTTGTTTTACTTCAACTTATTGAACCATGTGTATATTTAGAGAGTGTAGAGATAAAAAACAGACCTAAATATTGTAATTTATCTCATCTAAAATAGAATAAAAAAATACAAATGAACAAAGAAGACCATATTTGATCAAAGCAAGAGTTTATTCCCAATATGTAATTTTGTATGAATCTTTCAATTTTTTTATTTCTGCAATAAATTCTTTGTATTTTAATATGTTGTAAAGATGCTCAGCATCAGTATTATTGGATTGCTTATCAATGTAATTTGTGATATTACGTACTTCAGCTTTAGTTTCCGACTATGTTTCACTGACAATTTCCAGTTTAACAAAAATATTATTAATCACTAAAACTCGCTTTGACTGAATATGGCCTTTTTTACTTATTTATGTTGAACATTTTTTTTGTTGATCTTTACTTACTATTAAATATAAATTTTATACATGGATAATATTATTCACAAATTACCTTAAATTCTCCATGACTGTAATGTGTTCATCAGAAGTGCCAGGTGGTGTGTCGATGATCAGATAATCAATATCTCGCCAAACCACATCTGATAAAAACTGTTTGATCATAGCATTCTTTTTAGGCCCACGCCAGATCACACTATCGTTCTGACTTTTCAGGAGGAAACCAATCGACATGACAGATAGTTTCTGTTCTGAATCGGCAAACACTGGTATCCATCTATCGATTTATATGACTTATTAATAGCATACTTACTGCCCTATTCTGTAACTCTTAATTAACAATGTCGTTCATATCATTATAGTATTGTTGCGCAGATATTTTATATGGTAAAAATCTGCGCAATGGCACATAACAATATTGACATTGTTGTTAAAAGTTACAGAATATATAGGGTCCCTGATTATTATAATTATTATTAAGGAATTAATGCTCAAGTAATAAAGGACACACCCTTCAGAAGACTGGTTAACATCTTTCTCTTCTAAGTTCAGTAAGTAAGGCACACTGGGACCACAGAGATCGACATCCAAAATCCCAACCTATGGTAATTCATAATTTGTTTTAATTATTTCATGGTGTTATAATTAATCGATTTTTCCATTTTATTTTTGAATATATACCGTATCATTTACAAAATGATTTTACTTGTAAATATACTTGGTGCTTGTCTTTACACTTTTAATATAATTTTTTAAGGCAGATTTATGGATTTATGAATCGTGGATTTATGAATTGCATTTGATTTTAATTAATCAATGAATTTCTATATAAGTTAGACTGTATTACAAAAAGTATAAATTGGAAAACTGATTCATTGTAATTTACTTTTTTGTTGCATCAATAAGAATGTAGAAGAGAGTTATAAAATTATTTTAAAGATATAATACTTGAAAGCATAATTATTAAATAAACCATAATGAAAAATTTTATATAAATTGGAATACTTGAGAAATATTGAGCAAATAGTTTTATGGTTTTTTTTTTAGAATTTTTCATTTATGTGAATTTTGAAATATTCTAAAAATTCTAAAATTTTTATATAATTTCGTAAAAAATATATTAAACTTTTTTAAATTTTATAGGATTTTATCAGAAATTGTGAAATGGAAAGTCTTGAATATTTCAAAATCCATATATGTGAAGAATTCTAGAAAAGATGTGTAGACTTTCTCAGTACTTACAAAAAAATGTTCTAATTTATATAAAAAATCTGAGAAATTTTCTAAAAAAAAAAATTATAAAAATATTTTCAGAAATTCTGAAAAAAATCTGAAAATATTTTTTTTTACAAAAAATTCTGAAGAATTATATAAAAAATTGTGAGAAAAATTTTTATCGGAGTAAGTGTTTTAATGCTGATTCTACAATGAATCGGTAGTCAGAAATCTCAAGTCTTAACCAGTTTTAACCTAATAGGTGACTATGAGTTTTCGCATCTACTAAAACTAGTTGTTAGTTGTACAGCGAATCGAGTTTAGAATTAGCTCGACTCTCTAATGGGAAGGAATAAAGTCGAATTTGGTCGGTCTTAAGAAAGTTGGTTGTTGGCCAACTTCACCGATTCACTGATAAGAGACTTAGGACTACCGACTCAATGTAGAATTTTGGAACTTGTGGAGAGACTCGGATACTCAACTCGAAAGCCTGATTCCTTCAATGCAAGAGCCAGCTGAGTGCTGATCGTCGATTTGCCAACGCCGCCTTTTCCTGAAAGTACTAACAGCACGTGCTTCACTCCCTCCAGCATTGTGGAAAAATTAGTAATTGATTGACGATGAGAAATCAAATTGGAAATGGATGACACGTACGCGATCGCGGAATGATATTACGATAGTTCAGTAACAAAAAAGTATAAACGAGGTCATGTCGAGTCTTCACATAACCGACGATAATCAATCACGTTTGACCATGCGTAGAGTGTAAAACTTAAACGACTAACAATTCCAGCGTTATTGTATTATATTTCGCATATCGGATTGTAAGCATAACCTCAACGTAATATTTCAAGCGACGGCACGTACAGACTACAGCGGTCAGTGCTATTCAGCGCTATTTACCCGATTTACCGTCAAATTGCGCAACTGGGTATTGTTGCGAGTTATGAGGAAATATTTCAAGAATTCTTGAAAAGATTTAATTTATCATCGAACAACTGCAATTTTTATTAGATTTTTGCAAAACTCGATTACCTATGCAAAGTTTTATTTATTTAGCAATGAAAATTGTTTATTTTTTCATTGCAAATCCCATTAAACATTTTTCTTAGAACTTTTACGAAATGGATTTTGGAAATATTTTTTTCAGAAATATAATGTCGAGAGAAAGTTACATCTTTTCTTAGAATTTTTTATATATTGACTTCTGAAATATTCTAAAATTTCTAGAATTTTCATTCTCTGTCTCTCTCTTTCTCTCTCTCTATATGTAATTTCTTCAAAAATAAATTATACTATAACTCAACATAACTTAAAGACAATAATTTAAGATGTTTTAAACTTTTTCAGATTTCATCAGACCATCAGACAGAATGGGAAATCTTAGAGAAATTAAAATATATCATAATTTATATATATGGAAAAATTTTAGAAAATATTAACTTTTTCGATATTTTTAAAGAATCTCTCAATTATGTATTTTAAAAATCTGAGGAGTTTTCTAAAAAAAATTATAAAATTATTCAACAATTCTGAAATTTACATTCTAAAAAATTGTATGAAAAGTTTTAAGACAAATTTTTACCAAGCATGTTATTCAAATGTTCACCAAGGAATCATTTAATTAAATAAAAAATGTTATGTTTATGACTTGTATTTAGCTTCCAATATTTAAATTTTGTTATTTATAGCTTAATATCGAATATTATTTTGAAAAACTGTATTCTTTGCGCGGCACCTGCGTGAAGTTGTTACCGCATGCGGCGCGGCGCGGCGCGGCATCCTGAAGCCTGAAGGTGGCCGCAAGCCGCAGGTCGCAAGTGGCCGCGAGCGGTGAGCCGCGTCAGCGCCCGGTGCCCGGTGGTCGGCCACCTGGCAGATGGTAGTTCGCCGCGCTTCCGCCAGAGCACGCGCAGCGCACGCCGCATTGTTGAGCGATCTGGTTCGCGCTTTGCGCGCACGTCGTGTCAGTCGTCTGGTTCGCCGTCGTCACCGTCGTCATCGTTGTCGTCATCGTTGTCATCGTCCGTGCGTCGTCTGCATATTGTTGCCGCGGGGCGGGTAGCGTACAGGTTGTCCGGTCGTCACGTTCATTGCTTCCATCGCGAACAACTTCGTGCGTCGCTATGGATCACATCGGCCTGCTGCTGCAGCACTCGCAATACGTGTACGCGATCCCTGTGGGTATCGTGCTGATATGCGCCATTCTCGTATTTGCCTTCGGCTTCAAGAAGGCCGAGCAGCCGCCGTTTGCGCAGCTCTCCTCGGGCTCCGACGTGGACCGGAAACTTTCCAGGAAGCGTGGCAAGATCCGTGAAAAGGTTAGTAAAACGTCGTTCGGCGACCTGGCCGCGCGATCTCCCTCCCTCTCTCCTCCTGTGTCCCTCCTTCGCCCCCATGTTCTTTTCTCCCCGTAGACACGTCGCGTTCACCCGCCATATGGTGGCTCGTCGCTTGTGGGCGCGAGTCGATGCACACGCACACACACCCGCTAATCAGCTGGTCCCTCCGGTTCGAGAGGGTGGTCTCGCGAGGTGGCTGTTTTCCTTTTCCCCCCGTGCTTCGTTCGTGACGTAACGCCGCGACGAAGTCTGTTTGCTTTGTCAGCGTGGTCCGTGACGTTGCCCGTCATGTTTTCAGACCACCAGGGCTACGTTCTTCTCCGAGGAAAATTTTACTCGATATATATAATACACGTGTGATGTGTCATGTAAAATAAAATCTTCCTCAGAGAAGACGTTTTGGAATCTAGCCCAGGATATTGCTCACACGGTTTTGCCGTTCACTGCCAAATGGATCTTTTTATCAACACTTTCTACTGAATTATTTGCTCTCTTTCTCTTTTTAAAGTCTTCCAGTTGCTTACCCCTTATTATTCAAACACCTATAACTTTTTTGGTAATAAATATGACATTTTTTATATAAGATACTTCTTAAATATTCCAAGAGATTTTGAGAGTGATTAATTCAGACGAAAACCTTTTATGACCCTATGTCTCGAATAGCTTAATTTCAAAGATACCTGCTTATCTTTGGATTAGCTTCTCATTAAATAAAAAAATAATGTATAATCCCAAAAGATTAGTCTTCATACTCTTGAAGCATATTCAAAGTTTCATTAAGATGTTTTGAATAGTTTTCGACATTTCTGGAAAAAATAAAAGTTTTCCTTAAACCTTAACATCCGGTATCTTTGAAACTAAGCTGTTTTGGACATATGGTTCGTATAAAGTTTTCATCTTGAATTAAATGTGAGGAATTACCCTCAAAATTTTTTTAGAATACTTAGGGCTATCCTGCATAATAAATAAAACTTATAATTAGATCATCTATTTTTAAATATGCTAACTTTTAAATGAACATATGTGATAAAAAAGAAAGCTTTGTTTAACAATAAATATAATAAAGGGCATGTCAGCTTCATTTAATTAAAATGTTAATTTAATATTTAATTTTATTGACAAATGATAAAAGTGTATTATTTATATACTCCTTTCAATGTTATAAAAGGTTGTGTTACATTTTAATATTAGATATCATATACTGTATGCAATTTTATCAAGTATTATACATTTTGTTATAGAAAGCTGCTAATGGACAAGTTGCATCTGAGAAAACAAGTCCAGCTAAAAAGACATTAACAGCAAAAGTAGAAGCTCCTAAGAAAGCTACCAAAGGAGATGATGTTGAAGGTAAATTAAAAGAGCGTAAACAAGAAGACAACAAGATTGTTGGTACTAAGAAGGAAAAGGAACAACTATTGACTAAGGCTGGCAAAGAGAACAAAGTGGAGCAGACGAAGAATAAGAAGAATTTGAAGAATTTATTCCAGGAAAAACCAGTGGATTTTGACGATGGTTAGTTGATTTGCAATAAGCTCGAAGTAATTGCACAAACAAAATGTATCTATCTATTTATGTTAATACATGTAAAATGTACATGTATTAGCATAAGTAAATAAGATATATTTTGTTCGTGCAGTTACTTTAAGTTGTTATCTATCGTTGTCAATATTAATAATTGATAACAGGAGATTGGGAGCAAGCTTATTCACGCAAGGATAAGAAGAATAAGAAGAAGGAAGAGGAATCTCCTTCAAAGAAGAACAAGAAAGCTTCTAAGAAGACTGATTTAATAAATGAAGCTAAACAGAAAGAACAAGAGAAGCCCGAGATTAAGGATAAGATTGCTAAGGAAACTGAAAATAAAGAGCTGAAGGAGAAGGAGAAAAAGGAAGTGATCCTCACATCTATTTCCAGCGAGGAGATAGATGAAGCTAAGGAGCCGCAGAAAGAAGAACAGAGCAAGGTATACCTTTATTTTACATAGCATTAAAACTTTTCTGTTGATAATCCATAAATGAAACATTTGATCGCAGATTGAGAAAGTCGAGAAGGAAGAGAAAAAATCTGGAAAATTGAAAAAGAATAAGAAAACTTCTGAAGGCGAGAACACACCCGCTTCAGTACCATCTACACCAAAGACAGATAATAAGCCTATCGTGGAAGAGCAGAAAAAGCCGGCGAATGCCGAGAAAGTAAACAACGTGGAAGAAAATAAAGTGGTAGAAAATCAAGAGAAAATCGCCGTGTTCGACGAATTAGGAGGTTTGTTGCATTAACGAGGAAATTATGAGATTTTATTTCGAATTGTGTAATTTTATTTAAATTACTTGTAATTTGTGTTCTAGACGTCTGGACAGAAGCAAAACCGCAGAAAAAAAGTAAAAAAAAGGCTCGTAAAGATAACTGAGGATAATTGCGTGTAATGCTAATGATATTACTCCTTGCAGAAAGGAATAGAGTGAGAATTCTGTTCGGTCCAAAGGACGTTTGTCGCTTTCGACAAATCAGGTGTGTTTCAAATGACTTGCTAATCATCACCTGACCAATTCGTTCCTTTTCCCTTGTATATAATATCAATCAAACTTAGGTTATTCAATTATGACTTTTTAGTTATCACGTCTTGGAGATGGCGTGAAAACGTTGTATGAAGATTTTTTTGTATGTTTTTCATTTCTTGTAGTCCACGCTATCTTGCATTTAATAAGAATGGCATAAGTCATAGTTTTCACCAGGCAATTCTTGTATACACATTAGGTTTCATAGGTACCTTCACGCATATCCATAATAGGGTATTATATTTTATTTGTGTAATTGTAACTTTATATATATAGTGGATATGTATCATAGTTTTATAATGGTTTTGAATGGTACTTATGCCATTTACGTTTTGCGCCTTTAGGAATTAATAATCTTACAAAGAATATTTTGTACAACCATACTATATTTCTATATTAAGAACAATAATTTTGTGCGCATTATTGTATCTTGCTGTTACTTAAACACCGATTCTTCTCATTATTAACATCTCATATTATATGTATTTGTACGAACAGTTGAAAGGCAAACATAGAAAGTACATCTCTCGGTAATATTCATAATGCAGGACAATCTTTGGAGGCAATAAACTTATATTGCTGACGTGTAGAATGGATTTTAATAAAAATCATATTTTTCTACACGATTAAGTCGCGCTTAGTGACTGATTATTTTCTGCTTCAAATGCTCGAGAATCTATCTTGTAATAATTAATGTATTTCCATATTTATGTACATCAGCAATATAAGTTTTATGGATGGATGTAGATAACATTACGTATATTTATGGCAGTAGAAGTCATACATGTGATAACGACAATGATTAACTTTAATAGATCCTGATTTATATTCTGCTGCACATTATGCAACAGAATATGTATATATACATGTTGAAATTAAGAGAGACAAAATCTACGTTCGTGCTATATCCTACAGTGATTCACGGATAATTATTTGTTAATTATTTAATGCTGTTGTACTTCATGCCGGTGAAAATCTAACATTAACTTCGAGTAGAAAAAAATTTATTCGGCAGAAAGCAAGGGGAAATGATTCAAAATTTTTACGACATAGATATTTGTACCTATATAAACGTTATGAAGAAATATTGATTTCTTGTTGAATACTTCCAGAGGTGAAAAGTATATGTATATATTTTTATTTTCATCGTGCATCGAGATAGTTAACAATTTTACTTGTGGACGTGAATCGAAGTCTAATATATTGCTCTTTCATTTTTGACTATGTTTTTACGTTATTGTAATCAAGTCACAGAACATATTACTATGATAATTTTATAATTATTATAATTATAGTTAATAGATCTCATATAACTTCACGTCTTCATAAAAATGGTAAAAAAGGGATACGAGAACCACCAAAATGATATTTTTGTATAGTTTTTTTATACAATTGAATTTTTTTTGTCAAATCAAATATTACGAACAGTTTTCTTAAACATTTATCGTCACGCGATAATTGAATAATAACCGAGACGATCATATGCACATCAAAAACTATCGTTTATGAATATAAATCAGCCGTTCATTTCTTATGCTATGCAGGAGAGATAATACATCAATTTCTTAATGACGTTAGAAGTAATTTACAGAAAGATTTTATCATATATATACTGTATTAACATTACTATCAGAATGTGTTATTAATAACTCCTTTATTGCTATTAGGTGCTAAGCTCTGTAAAACGAGCGCTGCACACACAAGAATGTTATACATTGGAGATATCGGAAAAGTCAGATTTCTCTCAAAGAATGTCTTAACTTATATTTTATCAGAAACAGAATAAGAATGGATACATATACATGTGTGTGTGTGTGCGTGTGTGTGTAAAAGATTGAGAGAAAACGATTTGAATGAATGAGCAGATTATTATCGTTGTTGTGTACGCGATAACGTTTTATTCTAAATAATTTACGAATTAAGAAAAATGTTTGTTAAAAATTGCGTAAAATTCATGTATCGATAATTTTAAAAAGAGAGCTAGTGAAAGAGGAAGAGAGTGAAATGATTTGAGATGTATGACAATATTGTGATAAGAATATTATACCTGAGCATTGCTTGAGTGTTGCAAATTAACGCTGAAATCACTCGTAGCTTTTATGTGTAGGAAGGAATCTTGGGGAGAAAGTACCTCTATCCTGTTCAAATAGCCATTCATATTTTGTATACTTTATAGTAATATATTCTCGTAAGTACACACACTCGCATACGAGACTATCGTGCAAGAAGTTCTACCGTTACATTGGCAAAAGAATTCCGCATTGCCGTGAAGTTTACAGAAAGGGAGAAAAGAGTAAAAAATAATTCATTGAATACATTGAGCGAGCTTGAATTTTAAACCAGCAAGAACTGTATCGTCACGCATATACCAAATTGTTTGTCGATTGTATACGTCCCGTGCCAAAAGCAAATATCATCTCTCTTTTAGATCATATTTGAGCTGAATTTCATATAATTCATGGGTATCAAAGGAAATTTAGTAACGCTATTTACGGCCGCTCTCTCTTACATATATCCAATTTAATACTGGAAATTAGTTATTTTGATTAATAAAAGTATTGAATAACAGTGCTTTTAATATTCAAAATAAGTAATTAATCGCTACTTTTTGTATAGTAGAATCGGACCTTTTTTAATATCCTCCAAAAAAGGGTAGATTTTTTGTCTAAAAAGATGTAAGTAAAAAAAATAGTGTTTTTCGTAAATTTTGATCTTCTGAATATGATAAAATTATTAAAACGTTCGTGACATTTGGGGAACACCTTCAAAAATAAGTAAGAATATTAAAATTTGTTCAAATATATGTTCATACTCAATTTTCAAGGTATTCCTTATCGATCCCAAACTTTTTATTAACATTATCGTATTCAAGAAGTCAAAATCTCTATAAAAAACGCTATTCCTTTTACTTACATTTTTATGGGCAAAAATCGGCCTCTTAACATCCTCTTTTCTGTAAGGACATTCAAGTCTTTTATTTAAGCAGAGAGAGAGAGAGAGAGAGAGTAACAGAACTGCTTAAATTTCCTCTCATCGCTTGATTCTTTGCAACATTGTAATCATCGAAGAATGTCAATTCAACGATAATAATTAGCGATGTCTGAATAGCTAACCAAATAGCTGAGTTAATTTACACAATAGAGTTAAGTTTTCTTTTCAAAACCGCTATAAAATTATTTTTCGAGTCTGTATATGCAATAAAACTGAATGTGTACGTGATCTTTCGTGTATCACGGGGAGTTGAAGCGGCAGATAAAGATATATATATTACGAGCAGTATCGATTTGTTTTAGTGCAAAAATACCAAATTATTTAATGATCTAATGATAATTGTAAATCGCAGTTTGTTGTATCGTCTACTTATGACAAAATAAGTTACGATCCATGACAAAAGGCATAAAATTACTAGTTGTGAAGAAATAGTATGTGAAATGTATTCGTGAAGCTCGAAGAGTGACTTAATACTGTTCGTAATGATTCAACCAATTTATAGTTTAACGGACTAGTTTAGCAGAGTATTTACACTCGCACAGAGAGAAGACCGAACAAGTAGAGTCTGGAGGGACAGCTTTCGAGTTATGAGAAAGAAGTTAGCATATTTTTCTAAACAATGTTCCAAATCGCCACGTCGTTTACATTGCATTCGTGATGGAATTGCAGTCGAATGTCGAATTTGGCGAAACGCACTGGACGTGCATCGCGTTCCCTCGTAAAAATTTTTCTTAAAATTTTTTATATAATTTTTTATCATTTTTATGTAAATTTTAAAGTTTTTTAGAATTTTTTAATGATTTTAAATTTTTTTTTAGAAAATTTCTCAGATTTTTTATATAAATTGGAACACAGAAATATCGGAAAAGTCGGCAGATCTGCATCTTTTCTGAAACTCTTCATGTATGTAAATTCTAAAATATTCTAAGATATTTAAGATTCCTCATTCTATAATTTCTGATAAAATCTGAAAAAGATACTTTTTTTAAAAATTAAAGAACGAGAAATTAAAAAAAATTTTAGAATATTTCAAAGTTTATGTATATGAAAAATGTAAACTTTCTCAGTATTTCTGAAAAGTGTTAATTTGTATAAAAATTCTAATAATGAGAAAAATTTTCATTAGTATTAGAGATATTCCAAATACAAAGTGATGTAAATTTGACACTTGTCAAATTTGCATCACTTTGTATTCGCGACAGTGGAACGTCCGTTATCACGAGATGCTACGAGATTCGAGCGGGGAGAGCGATACTCTCTCCCACATATATGTAGAATACAGGGAAGATTTACGTGAATCGCAATTAAATAGTGACGAAGAAGCGCAAGACGTGGTGGATGAACTGACTAGAAACTCGAGGAAGTATTATATTGCCACTGTACATATGTATATTAACGAGCAATGTCATTATTAAATATGCAATGTTGCGTCGTATGGTTCATCGATACGGACTCTGCGGCGGCAGGGATCCAGAGCTTAGGGATATTTCTCTGAAAAGAATCGATCAGCGTCCGATAATACGTGTGCGATCTATTTATTCTGAACATGATACGAGTTAAATCTCATGACATACAATAGGTTTGAATAGATCAAATGGAAATACCGTGATGTACAATTGTATTATTATTTAAAAGAGATTCTCACACAGTTCCAACTCGTCTCATTTTCAAAATGAGCATAGCAAATGGATACACCGGCACAATATGCTTGATTATCATAAATCTGTAGTGTGCCGCTTATTTTTCACAGGGCCAATCGACAGTCTTTCGGACATGGTTTACATAAATTTGCAAATATACATTTCCAATTTGTGCATTGAAGTAACGACAACGCAATTACGATGGCCTACTTTGGACGCATGTAGCTACAGTTTCACAACTATGGTACACACGAGGACTTTGATCGTATTCGAAATATCGACTGTAACGTAAAGATAAGATAAGATAAGAAGAGAAAGAGAGATATATATATATATATATAGAATAAATAAAAACACGATACAACAGTATCGAATATACATATATTAATATAGAATTATTGCAATTTATTTTATTCATCGAGGGATTGCTGCGATCATGACAGCACGCGCGCGCGTGTGACAAATTAATATTAAAATCCATGATATATAATATACATGTGTGTGCGTGCGTGTGCGTGCACACGCGCACACACATCATACAATATAAAAGAAACATACGTCACGTAAAATACGTGTGTTTCAATTAACTTAAATTTTATCATTAACTTATGTTAATATTAAGGCAAACCAAGAAAATGTGACACAGACGAAATACTTGCGTACGAAACTAATGGGATCGAAGATAGTACTGACGAGAAATATTCTGTTTCTGCGAATCGCACATGATTGTACGCTTCTCTCTTATCTGGAAATTACACTATATATATATATTATCGAGATGTGTATATATATATATATATATACACATATATATTTGTGTGAGATTTAAAAGATACATATGTATACATAAATATATATTTTCGCATTTATATCACTCGGCGAACAGAACATTTCTCGCGAAAATATGCTTTTCGGTTGTGATATTTATGGAAAATGTGTGTGCGAGCGGAATGAGTTTTAAAACAAGTTTGATAAAAATGAAGAGAGAAAGAGAGGGAGGGGGGAGGGGGGGGGAGAGAGAGAGAGACATACTGAATAAAAGTTATATTTTTTCAGCATTTAATAAGGAGTATTTATTACGCCTATCCAATTTGTGCATATGTAGGTATATTTATTTAATATTTTGGTATTTGAAGACGGAATATACAGACCGGTAATAATATATATAAGAATTTTTAATTCATTTTATTTTTTATTAGTTGAGCGAATGTATCTTTCATTTATTTTGCGGATAACTTTTTTATATTATTAGAAATACTTAAGTAAGTGTTTTACTTGTACAATCCTTATCTATTCAATTTATTTGTATCTTATCCAACTATGCTTGGATAAATAAAATAGCAAATATTTTGTATGCCACATATATTTAGTTGCAGTTTCACTAGATTAACATTTTTCTTTGTATATATTCATCGAAACTTACAATAAGGATTATATATTATACAAATACAATATACATATAAGCAGATTCCTTTTGAGAATTTGCAATTTCTACAGCTCTTTCTCAATTATCTTATCTTCACAACAAAATGTTTGCGTGCAAATTGGCAGCAAACTCAATCAGATTTTGACTACAAAACTATAGCCTAATATCATAATTCTTTTTATTTGCGTAAATGGCCTTTCTTAGCGTATTTGCTACATTTTCTTTTAAATTGTTTCACCGGTTTCTCTCCTTGTTCTCCGTTATTTCTTGCTTTAACAATTTTGTTTTCAGATTCCGTTATTGATCTTCTTGTTTTGTTGTTGACCAATAGCCTGGCGGATTTCTTGGACGTTCTGCTCTTGCTTTTAACTCTTTTCCTTCCTTTTTTTCTTTTCCTTTTCTTACGATCCATGTTGGCGATTATGGCTT